ACAGTCTCTTAGGAGAGATCATTTCAGACTTGTTGCCTTGTTATCAAGGGGCTTCTCCATCTGATGGTTATGTCTAAAGAGGGTGCAAAGCATTAGCCCTGGCTAGGAAAAAAGCAGGGTGCACTCAAAACAAAGAATCTATCATGACTACCAATTTATGATTTTTTTTAAAAAAAAATACTTCAACATTAACATGAAGTTGAACTGTGGAAGATGGTTGGGTCCTGAAAAACTAATTTTAGAAGCCTTCCTTTTAATTTTATAGATTACTTTACTGCATTTTATCCCTGTTTTTAGGCAAATCTTGTATCTTAAAATGGGTCACAGTATTTAAAAAGCAAACATCTTGCCCTCTGGCTTAGAATCTAAAAAGGCAAAACAGACAAGGGATTCCTCCAGGCTAGAAAAGGTGTTAAAAGATATATACAAGCATATTCATGTTATTCATGCTGGATTGAGCTTCCCTTCCAGCTCTCTTGAATAGTGACTGTTTCAGATATGAACAATGCCCTTCCTTCCTTGTTATGGCTGAAGATTGTGTTATAATGGGGCTCTCCAGCTTCTTTTAACTTTGAGCACATTTGGAATGTTAAAAGTATATTCTTGTCCTCTTTCAAACTGGCTGGTGTGATGGGAGGATGTGTCCATTCACAAAACAATTGCAATGGGTCAAACTAGTCACAAAGCATTAATGAACAATAATGTTCAAAATCACTTTTTTTCCTGCTGGGAAAATTAATTAACTTCCGAACAAAGCACTGGACTGCTGTCACTTACCCATTTAAATTTTTTTAAATAAAACGTTTACTGTAGATTCTGTTTGTATGCTAGATATATTCATGGATTTTTTAAATAATCTTGAATTATCTTGGATTTTGCAGATCCCAGCTTCTACTTTTTACAATGCTTATATATATGAATATTAACTTATATGGCAAAGAGCTGGGAGGTGCCAAGAGAGGTATCCCTGGTCCTATTGACTTTCATGAGAATTATTGGAGATTTTAGTGTTAATATTATTTATTACACTTAAAGACTTAGGGCTGAGTGTAAAGGCGCATACTCTAATTTTCAGTGGATTTTTACAGTTCCTCCCTTCTCCAGATGACCAGACCTGTAGGTGGGTGACTGAGCGAAATTTTTTAAACATACCTTCACATCTGGATCAGGGAGATGGCAGTTGTAGATTGTAATATAGCTAGTCCGGATTTCCATATAGATAACAGGGTCTTGTGACCTTAATCAGATCTTACTCTGATAATGGAACTAGCTTTTGGTTTGAATCATTGTCTTGATTGCATCCGTTAACTATAAAGGCATTTGCCAATCAAATTTGACTCCTGGTGATTAGTTTTGTAGCAACAATTTTCCACTGGTAATAATAATAATAAAGTTGGAAGAGACCTTGGAGGTAATAGGTAATAGTAGTAAAGTTGGAAGGGACCTTGGAGGTCATCTAGTCCAACCCCCTGCTCAGGCAAGAAACTCTACACCATTTCGGACAAATGGCTGTCCAGTCTCTTCTTAAAAACTTCCAGTGTTGGAGAATTTACTGCTTCTGGAGGCAGGCTGTTCCACTGATTAATTGTTCTCACTGTCAGGAAGTTTCTCCTTAGTTCTAGGTTGCTTCTCTCCTTGATTAGTTTCCACCCGTTGCTTCTTGTCCTGCCTTCAGGTGCTTTGGAAAATAGCTTAATTCCCTCTTCTTTATGGCAGCCCCTGAGATATTGGAATACTGCTATCATGTCCCCCCTTGTCCTTCTCTTCGTTAAACTAGACATACCCAATTCTAGCAACCGTTCCTTATATGTTTTAGCCTCTAGTCCCCTAATCATCTTTGTTGCTCTTCTCTGTACTCTGTCTAGAGTGTCAACATCTTTTTTACATCGTGGTGACCAAAACTGGATGCAGTATTCCAAGTGTGGCCTTACCAAGGCATTGTAAAGTGGTATTAATACTTCACATGATCTTTTGGGAATTTCATAAAAATTCCCTGGCTTTACCTTCAACATTGGGGTTTCCAAGTATTAACTAGCTCTGATGTTGTTTGGCTTTTTCTTCCTTTTTTTCTTTTTTCATTTTATTGTATTGCAACAATAAAATTGTTTCCCCCACCCTTGCAAAGCAGACCCCAAATTTATAAACTTCTATATCTACTTGCTATCAGTTTGACCTGCCATCCATCTACTATAGAAAAATAAAGAAGTTAACAGGTGAACCATCAGCAAAGTTAAACTTCAAAGCCCTCTGTTAACAATCTATTATTGTATTGAATTTGTAGAAAGACTATGATGTCTTCTTATCTACCATAAATCACCACAATAATGATCTCTAATCAGGCCAGGATCAAATATCCTTGTTTGATTCTTAATAGAATAACTTTTCCTTAAGATTTCGGTTGAGAATTTTCCTAACAAGTCTATCTTTGAGAGGAAGCAACTAAATTTCATTTTTAATGTGTGCCATTGTGCCCACAGGAAAAAATGACAATAAAGGTTATCTATCTATCTTATATCCCAGAATCATAAACCTCTGTTGTCGATCCATGTTCCCAAAAAAGTCCAGTCCAAATTGTTTATCAGTTAGTTATAATAAAACCATTCCCCAGTCACCATTAGCTTTAAGTTGGTGCATTGTAGACATAAACAGAGAACTTATGTATACTCTAACAAGGTAGCCACAGAAAATGCTGAGTTAATATTTCTCTCAATAAAGGATTAAGAAAAAAGGAAAGTTTCCATCAAAAATTTAAAAATTAATATGTTTATGTGTTAGGGTTTTTTTAATGCATTTTTTTAAAATGTCTTTACTGCTTTTTAAAAAAAAATTGGAGTTAACTTTTTTGAATAAAATAGATTTAAAAAAATTAAGACCAGAGCTTTTCAAAAGTTAAGAAAATGAGAAATTCCTGTAGTGAAAACGTGATGTGAATGTAAACCCAAACAAGTCACTTTAACTACCCAGAAAATCTCCATCAACTTCCATACAGAGAAAGCGAAAGTAATTCAGAATGGCAGAATAAACAGTGAAAAATCTTTAAAGAATTCATGTTAAAAACCAGCAAGGAATTGGAGTAAATCAGCATTCTGCTTTTAAAAGAAAGATCAAGTTAAAATATTCAAAGAGCTGAGGTGGCGCAGCAGTTAGAGTGCAGTACTGCAGGCCACTTTAGCTGACTATATTCAGCAGGTCAGCGGTTCAAATCTCACCGGCTCAAGGTTGACTCAGCCTTCCATCCTTCCGGGGTAGGTAAAATGAGGACCCAGATTGTTGGGGGCAATGTAAATATATATATACATTGCTTACTGGTGTACACCGCTTAGAGAGTGCTTGCACTTAAAGCGGTATATAAGTCTCAAATAAATAAATAAATAAATAAATAAATAAAAAATGTGCGGTTAAAACCAAGGCATTCTTAAAAAAAAACAACAACCAAACCCAAACAGTTGAAAGGAAAGATGGAGATCTAATTTTCTAATGGCTCCTCCTGGGCATTGCGATCCTCAAGATATCTTTTCCCAGGTGAATCCACAGTTGTCCAAGGTTGTGTTGGGTAGTTTCTAAATGTTCCCATTTGGATCTAGGGAGTAGCTACCAAAGAACGCACTTTGGCAGCAAGAACCAGCTGTTTGTTGGCAAGAGAAACAGACCTCCCTACTGCTCAGCATGCCAACTTGGGGGAAGTTTTATTTGGCTTTTTCAAAACACCCAAGGTTGTCTAAGTATTGCTACTTGGTGTATATCAAATTAACTGAACAGTATTAAATCAATTTTAAGGTCTCTTGCATTCAAAAGCATTGGGTAAATTCAGAAAAGGAACTAATTCAGTAATCAGGTTAATTGTATTGCTCCATTAATAAAGAATATATGTAGTTCAAGGCTAGGCAGTTGAGTTCTTGATTTTCTCTGAGCTTGGTTGAACACCAAGAACCCAGTAATTGTATTGCTTGAACACAGCCCAATGATGGCATTCTGAAAGACCCGGGCTCTCAGATGCAGTCTTAAGACCCTGTCTCTTGGGGGACATGCAGCAAGTAACTGCCCACATTTTGTCTCATTCAAAGCAGGTTTAATCTTCTCTACCAAGTATGATAAAGGGTGTAGTGCTTTACATTCCCATTCCAAATTAAATGTCATCATTTGCCTATTTGTTAAAAACCAGTAAGAGGTACACTCTGTAAAGGACAACAAAGGAGTCTTAAAGCCACAAAAACTCAGCCCAACCTATTCACAGGCCAGTTAAGTCTTGAACACCTGCACAAAAGGATGGGATATAAATCTAATACCAAATAAATTCCTTTTCTGGCTCAGACATTAAAGATCTGCATAGTTCTGCCACATCATTGCTAAAAGTCAAGCCACCCTGGAGGCTTCATGATATTCATGCCAGGTTTTCCTGCTAGGCTTTTAAATCCACGCTTCTGGCACATCTTGGTGATCTCCCAAATCCAACTTCGAAATTCAACAAAAATCAGCTTCAGTGCTGTTGACAGCTGTGACATTTAAGTATAAGGATAATAGATTAAATGGCAAGAACAAGATAATGATTCAGAAACAGTCGTGCTACGTGAGGGATATACTCTGTGGCAATTTCAGAAGTTCAAAGCACTTTATTGACTGTTAGGCAGGTATTAGAGCATCTAATGATCTCTAGTCAAATCTCTCACTGACTGCAGAAATATGTTTTGAAGATACACAGCCTTAAAACCCTGTAATGGAAAGCTGCATTCTATAAATGTTTATCAGCAAGGCTTCCCAATTTTGAACTGAATCCTGTATCTTATATTTTAAAATAGGTTGGTTTGGTTTGCTGTTACTTTTTGAAGCTGAATTATCAAACCTGGTGTCTTGCTGTGGCAGAAATCGATGTTCTATATTATGTCATATAATCTTTTTTTAAAAATAGTACTCTTTCCCTCTGCTTTTTGCACACAGACACACATTTATCCACCCTCCCACTCCCATCTGCATTCAGATAAGGGTCAGGTGGGGTTTTTTTATTTTGTTTGTACAGAAAACAATGATTGTCTGCCATTCAGATTTTGCATATTTTCTGTCCTTTTCTAGCCATTGAGTGAAATCCTGAGATCCTTATACTGCTGCCCATTGAATTTTCCTTTCATTGTTTTTTATTAACTAAAACAAAGCTAAAACAATGTCTCCTTTTCAACGACGAGAAAACAATTACAGTTTAATGGAACGGTGAAAAAACAAACCTTAACCCAATTTTGAGGAGAGCTGACATCCATCTGCCAAACCTGAAGGAATTGCCCATTGATGGAACACAATTTGGGAGGAAAATTGCAAGAAGCAGCAAGATACAGCAAGAGGGCAGGTGGGGTGGGCAAGGGGGCTGGTGCTGAAGCCTTTTCATTGTGTGCCTCTGTTTATTCATTCTCCACTGTGTTTACTAAGTAATTGCAGACTTGCTGTGGTCCCCAGTGGGAAATACGTTCCTGATTTCAGACATTGGCTTTTGTGCATTGCTTCTCAGTAGGGGAGGTCTCTGGCCCCTTGCTGTTCCAATTTGTTTGCATCTGTGTTATTTCAATTTAACATAAATGTGATGGGCATGTAACTTGCGTCACCAACTGTTATAAGCAATAATAGCTTTTCTTCTCATGCTCTGTAAAGCAGTTGTCATGTCTCAGCCACAGGCAGTCAAATCTCTCTCTGTGGGGTTTACACTACTTTGACATAAAGTGTGCCGAGGCTGTATTATAGCCTGGGGAGGGGAGGGGGGTGATAATGATGGGAAAAATCCCTCAAGTCTCTTTGCTTGGGGTCCATAATAAAACTAGTGCTTGTTTTAGTAGTATTCATAGATAAACCAAACTTTGCCGTTTCAAGAACCAAGCAAGGAGAGGAAAAAGTATATGATGCAGGGTCTGTTCAGGAATGGAAAAGGAGACGATAAGCACGTCTTAAATAGCTATCCTGGGGCTGAATTTTGACAATGGGTCCTCAGCTAGCAGCAACTGCTCTATCTTTTGATCATTTAACTAAGCTTTTCATTGTAGGTGACCAGATAGTCATTTTCTGCATGATTGGGCCAGGAATAGAGGAAGTAATGCAATTCACAACTCCTTCCCCAAGTGAATGTTAAAGGATTTTTTTTTTCTCAAAAAAAAAAAAAAAAGCAAAAGGAGAAAGTTGTGTATTACTACGACTAGTCTTGTATAATAGTAATATTTCTGCCTGACCAACTGTGCCATAAAATGAAAGTATACTTAGAAGCACATGCTATTGTAAGCAGGGCACTACTTAAGGGTAAGACTTACAGCTACCAACTACTAAGTTCCCATGTACTTTTAAATAAAAATCAAGTTTATGTTCGTGATTCATGAGCCAGGAGAGCTTGACACGAGATTGTTTTTAGGTTTGATCTCTGAATCTGAAGAAGACAAAAGCGTTCCATTAATCTGAAGTGGTCAAATAAGCTTAATGAGGTTATGGAAGCAACCACATGAGCGACATCAGATTTGCAGAATACCTGCCCATCCTATACTTTCCCCACAACTGTTAATCACATGGGGAGGGATGAATCCATGTCAAGTTCCATTGCTCCCAGATCTCGTTATCTTGTTTTAGTTGTCTTTTTCTGACAAACAGTAGACAAATTAAGAATATGTTTTCAAAACTGAGGTGAGATTGGGGGAACTGAATATTTGTTCTATCGCTGATGCTACTTCCCATACATGGGACTTAAATCTGTGAAAGTCCAATGCAGCTTCTGAATAACTTCAGCTAAGACGTAATTTCTTACAATTATGTTCATCATGTATTTAAGATGAACCATCAGTTAAAACAATGCAGGTCTGTATTTTATTTTTAAAAGAAGTTCAGTATTACAAACTTTAAAAAATAAAATTAAACTTGAAACAAAATACATCTTTAACATTTATTTCTCCCCCAATTTTAGTAAAAAAAGACAGATGGCAGGAAAGGCTGTTCATCAGCTGTTCTGGATTCTGCTGCAGTTGTAATATCAGCTAAATCTCATCCTTTACGCTGCAGTTAATAAACAGAGGGGCATTTTTACAGCAAGGTATCTAGACAGAATTAATCAGGTCTCCTTACTTTGGCTCATATAAACCTACCTGTTGAGTCTCTCACAAATCAAAGGTGTGCAACTGCAGACATGATTTTCAAGCTTGCTCACCCACCTTGTAACCCCAAATCCTTGTTTAGACTTCTCCCTCTTCAGAAGGCTAAGGAGAGCAGGGAGTGTAACTTTGGCAGGATAAAGTCTAGAATTTCTGCAGGAATTTGAGGACCAAGTCCTGCAGCTTCACCCTAAGTGACTCGTCACTCTCACACATGATGTGGGTCGAATCTTCTTCAATGCGGATTAGAGTTTCCACATCCTGGAACAGCACCAGATGCCCTTTTGGGGTGTCTTCCACTTTGATGTCACTGAAGCCATGCTGCAGCCACCGTGGACAAGAAAAAAAAAAAACAATCGGCTCAAAATAGGAACTATTTAAAACCCTCCATCTGATAAGCATCTGGTCAATATTTGTGTCATATGTCATTTAGGAATATAAATTACATCTCTACATATGTATTAAAAATAGACAAATCATATTTCTTCTTTTTGTTTGTCCTACTTGCTGCAATCCAAGATTCCGTATGCTCGCTCACAGCCTTATCAATTTTGCATCCTTCAAGTGCAGTAGCAAAGAGCTCCTATGTTTTTTCTGGTTGGCCCGTGGGTGGTTAGAGGATTTGGCACTTGCAGTCTAATATATCTGAAATGTGGTGGTGGCATCAGGCTGGGAAAGGGTGTTCTTATTTTTTAAAAAAGCAGCAGAACCATGGGTAATGCTCTGTAAATTGATGTGGCTTGATACTCAATGGCTCCAGCTCAATTATGTGGGACAAGGTAAGCAACAAACAAGTTAAAATTGCCTCTTTCTTTTAGAAATGAGGCTCAGAAAGGATAAGGTTAATCACCATGACCTTCATGGCACTGATGGAATTCTTAGGAGAACAGTGAAATAAACGCTTTAAAAATAAATGTTGATCACAAGACCAGCTTCTTAGCATTAGAAGATGCTTAGCCAATCTACCATGTTTTCTCTATTAATATTTTCTATTACCTTTTCCAGAGTCTGTACCAATTGGTCTACCGGGATAGAGCCACTTAAGAGAGGTTTGGTAGACTTGAGTTCCGGCAGGTCATCTGTTACTCTCTTCCTCTTTTTGCCAGGCTGAGGCTGGGAAAGTTTTGGTGGGAGCTACCAATAAAAGATTGGAGATGAAAAAGATAAGAGCATGTACATAGCTAAAGTTCTACATGAAAGCCTTCTACTATTCTGCATGTCTCAAGTGGCCAGGGAACAGATACCCTCAACCCTTCAGTCAATGCAGCTAACCAAGCACTGGGGAGTCAACCTCTTATGGATAGTCAAGCCATTTAATCAAGACGGCAATGCCCATCAAGTATATCCTATAGAGATCTTAAGGCATAAATATTTGTGGGCCATATAAAAACAAGCAGTGGGCAAGGCCATAGGCCATAGTTTGCCAACCCCTGATCTAGGATATAAAATCTGTCTAGAGCAGGGGTAGGCAACCTTGGTTCTTTTATGACTCGTGGACTGAGCATGGCTGGCTCAGGAATTCTGGGAGTTGAAGTCCACGAGTCATAAAAGAGCCAAGGTTGCCTACCCCTGGTCTAGCGGTACAACAAAACTCCTGAATAATTTACAGAAGGGGGAATAGTGTTTTTCTTCTCTCCTTTTTCTTTCATACATATTAGTTGCTTCCTTCTCTATGCCTTCCTTTTGTTTTTCGTTCTGTCCCGCTACCTATTCTTTCTCTTAATCCTCCCCACACCTCCTATCCAACGCAATCCACTGCTTCATTATACACTACCGTTGTTTTAAAATGCTGTTTTATCTATCAGTTTTGCCAAACTTTTTTTCTTTTTGCACAATAGCAGTATAATATACATTATATACATATCTAAAAGTGAGTATGTTTATCATATAAGGTGGAGACAGAATTCCACAGCAATATACTGTAGTAGCTAAAGAAGTGGCTTGGGTGATCTATAATAAAAAGGGAAGAAGGATCAGATCTGCTTATGTTTCACTGGGAGACATTCAAAAGGAATCCCAGGTCTTGGCTAGACTGAGAAATCAACAAATTTCCATGGGGAAAAAACCCCACTTTTCTAGAAAAGCGAGATAAACACCAATCAAAAAGGTAAAAAAAAAAAAAAAAAGCTAAAGGTTTCCACGTGCGGTCCTGTCCAACTCTAGAGCACGGTGCTCATCTCTGTTTCTTGGCTGAGGGATCCAGTATTGTCTGAAGACAATTTCCATGGTCATGTGGCCAGCATGGCTATACGCCAAAGACGACAAAACATTTTTACCTTTCTACCAAAGTGGTACCTATTAATGTACTTGCATTTTGCATGCTTTTGGACTAGCTAGGTGGGCAGGAACTGGGGCAGGAACGGGACCTCATCCCATTGCGCAGAGCTTGTGTTTCAAACCCGCACTGCCAGCTCTCCAGCTGACAAGCTCAGTATCTTTAACCACTGAGCCATTGTGCTCCTATGAAAAAGGTCTACATCACTGGCAAATCTTTGAAATCCCCCACTTCCCCCCAGCACTCGTCATATCATACCTGGAGCACATGCTTGTTATCTTTAGTATGCAAAACAGCACTAACGGTTGCCAAGGAAATACCTGGTTTCATCTCAGTGGGTAACAGTGAATCTGCAAGCTGAAGCAGAAGATGAGTTAAAAATAAGCTGCAGTATTTTCCTTGATGGAGGAAAACTTTAGCACTGCTGGCCTGGAAGTTTAGAAAAAAAAATACTGAACATGAATACAATACAACCATCTTTCCCAACACAATATCCTTCAAATGGCTGGAGTTGCAACTCCCAACTTTCCCCAGCTAGCATGGCCAATTGCATCAGGTTTCTAAAATCATGCATGACATGGTAAAAGGGATCAGAAGGAATTTTTCTTGTCTCCATCATAGCTTAGGACTTGGGCAATGGGTCAACAGAACTAATTAGCAGTTCTATATAATCAATATAGCAGCTAAATAGAAAGATACTCTCATATCTATGAAACTATTTAAATGTACATGAAGACCACTGGTTCAGTTGGCCTTAAAGTATAGATTTTAATGGGACATAGGGCTTCCTAATTGGAAATTCTAGGTTTGCTATATTAAATATAATACATTAAACCTCTATGGACAAAGGCAATGTATCTGAAAATATTCCAGTGGAGTACCTCAGGATTCTGTCTTCAATCCAGTGCTCTTCAACATTTTTATAAATGACTTAGAGGAACTAAAGTAGATGCTTAGTAAATGTACAAATTACACACAACTTTGGTGGTGGTTGTGGTGTTGGGATTGTTTATACTTTCAAAGAGAGACTCTAAGATTCAGAAGGATTTTGATGGACTTGAATGTTGGGCCCCATCCAACAAATTGTTCCAATGTAAGAAATGTAAGGTCCTGCACTTTGGTAAGAAAAACTAGACCCACAAGTACAAAATAAGTGATAGTTGGCTTGGCATTAGTTCTTGTAAAAAGGAACTGGGTGTCCTGGCAGATCACAGATTAAGCATGATCCAGTGGTGTACTTCAGCTGCTAAGGAGCTAAAGAAATCTGAACAGCATCAAAAGAATTATAATATAGATATCCAATCTATGGTGTATTGGTCAGATTGTCAGTAGAATATTGTGTCTAGTTTTTGTTTGCACAATACAAGAAGGATGTTGGGGATCTGGAAAGAGTCAGAGAAGATCAACAAAGACAGTTAGGGGCTTCAAAGCTAAATCCTATGAACTGGGTTAAAAGAACTGGGCATGTTTATCATGAAGAAAAAAAGGTTAAAGGGAGACTTGATATGAGTCTTCTAATATTTGAAGGATTGCCATAGGGGAGAAGGTATGAATTTATTTTCGGTGGTGTCCAAGGATAGAATAAGAACCAATGGTGGAAACTTTATAGGAAGAGATACAAATGTATAATAATGAAGAAAGTCTTAACTATTAGAGTTATGAAGTAGTGAAATAGTCTTTTCCTTGAGTTGTGGATACTTCATTACTTGAGGTTTTTAAACAAAGTCTGGATAACATTTGGGATCATTTGAAGACTCCTGCTCTGAGAAGAGAGTTAGATTGTAAGATCTCCAAATCTTTCCAACCCATGATTCTATGAAATAATCTTTGCTAGAGAGATGTTGTTGCTTTCCTGCTTCATTTGTGGATTTTCCAACAGAAGATGGTTGGCCAAAGTGGGCACAAAGTTGTTGAATTGAGACAGCCTCTTTCTGACTGAATTACAGTTTCAACAACTACATTGTTGGAAGACCTGGGGACTAGATTGGGGACTGATGTTTCTGGAGAAAATCTATGTGGTCATTAAGAGCCGATTTCAACTTGATCGATCAAGCAATCTTTTAAATTCAGCTTACCATTCTTACCTTCTTTTTGTTGAATCTATTATTTACAGATTCCTGCAGCTATGCTATGAATTACACACCATGTTAGTATTCAAACTATGTATCAAAAAAATAAAAAACACCTTCCTGACAGTATCATAAAAAAGGAGAAGGTCCTAAACAGCAGCTGTGATGACTGTCTTCAATAAAAATGTGAGGTGCCTCAGGGCCTCCAACAAACTTACACCCCAATAAATAAATCTATTAACAGCCCAGGAAAAGATCCTCTCTGAAGCAAGGAGAGTAAAAGACAGTTGGCTTTTTGCTGTATTTTATTTATATGGGCTGAGGTTTTTTTATATATTAGATCAACAGATAGAAGGTAAATTTACCTTAGCTACATGACTTTCTACTGATCTTCACATTTGCCATTCCTACCACCCATCCAATATGATACAGAAAGAAAGAAAATGTGGGCCACTAAAATATTGAGTTTGACAATATTGGCCTAGGAGATGAAAGGCTTCCTTCTCTGTGCCATTGTGGAATGGTGGTTAAGGAGTTGGGCTACTGCAGGAAGATCCAGGTTGTAGTTTGGGTGACTTTGGGTCGATCAATATCCCTTGGCCCAGCCTACCTCCCAGGGTTGTTCTGGAGAAAAATGGGAGGAGGACAAAAACACGAAGTCTAAGTTGATTAAGATCCCACCAATAATCTACTAGGCCAGATAAGGCAAAAAACATCTGGGGCTACAGAATAACCTCTCCCCCCTTCCCAAGAAGATCAGTTTTGAGATGACCCACTCTGCACCTTGGAAAAGCTTAGTGAACATGTATCATTCCATGTTCCTGAGACTCAGATTGAACTCTGGATCTCCTGAGAGTTACCATTTCTTTCCCCAGGAGAGGACATGCTGTGTTGATAGTGAATTTGGGGGAGAGGAAGAATGAAGAGGTCTTTCATTAAGACAAATTGGCACCATTCAGTTCAGTGGATTCAGTCGGAAGCAGCTGAATCCAATCTCAGGAAGTTTAGCAAGCCTGATTACTCCTTTGTTTTTATTGTTGAAATGTTAGAAGCAGGAAGTGTGATGGGGAGCTTTTTCATTTAATAGGTTTTCATCATGGATGTCATTAAAGCCATTTTGATGCTAGAGGAGCTGTAACGAGCCTCAGGGGTTTCTTAAAACATTTAAGAAATAAAGTTGGGAGCTGTCTTCACCTATTTGCGGAATTCTCATAAATCCGCAGAAGTTAATTTCCCAAGGATACATTTTAAAGAACTGATATCAAAGAAGGCAGATCCAGAACTGCAGACCACATTAGAAGGCAAAGTGATCACAACCCATCTTTAAACTATGGCACACTCACCAAGGCTCTTCCTGTCTTACTGCAGGGGCTCAATGTTGCTGGACTGCCATGTGTGGCAAATCCTGGCATTATAGCCTTAGCCAGAAGCCTTTATATTTGTGACCCTTATTGCTTTTAAGGAAAGGTTAGGGGATATTATATTCTCCAGAAATGGAAGTTATACTCCTGGTCAGCTCTATTTGAACACTGCAACTAAGTCAATAGGATCAAAGAGACAAACAACTGAGTGTCCTCCAGCCAGCACAAGTCAAAGGCTGGGACTGCAAAAGTAACATCAGGTAGTGATGACCCTAGAGAAGCAAGGCTGGCATTCCTACCTGCTAATTTCTTTGATGTTTGATTTAAAAAAAAGACCTGCCACTGATGTATTAACAAATCAGAGTGTTGTACATTCAGCTTTTTTGGGCAAAAAAAAAAAATGGATGAAAGAAATGGGTCTGTGAAGTCAAATGGCTGAATAGCATATATTTAGCTAGGAGGTGGAGGAGCTTCAGGGATTGCAGAAATCACAGGACAAATTTTTAAGAAAACCTGAGTGGAAAAGGGACAAAATTTGTTGGGTAGTATTTGCTGTGGTTAAGATCTAAACAAATGAGATATCATCCTTGGATTTAACTCCACAGATACTAGAATCTTTCAAACAAATTGAAATGAAAAGATTTGAGAATTAAGTGCATGAACACAAATCACAATCCAGAGAAACCTAATAGAATCTCTCTCTATGGGGCAACGTTATTCAACACACTGCAGCAGACAACAATCACAATGCTGTAGCTTAGCAGAATAAGATAAATATTCCCACTTTAAGAGCACACAGAGAAGCTGCAACTGGAGCAATCTTTCCCCCCACTTAAAAGATACTCCTGGATTCCAGCTGCGGTTCAGGCTAATGGGCTCTTGACATGCAAATCAGAGCTCTCTATTCAGTTGAATGGGGGCCGTCTGGGGAGGGGCAGGAAGAGTAGGGGGAATCAATATTTGTTAGGGAAGCAGCTTAATTGTACACACCAGGATGGCTTGTGGCTTTGTGCTGAGTTTTACATTCTACACTAAATGGTGATGCTTTGAGCTGCGCTAAAGAGGGAGGTTCCCCTTAGGTGGTTGTTTCTAAAATGCCCGGCTTGCAATAAAGATTTTCCGTGGTTCGGAAGAGAAAACATCCCTTTCTTTCAAGATCACCTGTTATATTTAAGGCTTTCAAGAAGTCTGGGGGCATGAGTTGACCCCCTATTATCAATGCACACCCCAATGTATTAATGAGCCTCACTGCTATGAATGGCAAATTATAGTAGAGGAAGGGCTCCCTCTTCAGGCTTTGATGTGCTCAACTGATGGGAACAAATGGACACTAATTGGCAGATGGCGATGCCAGGCACCTGGGATGCAAGGATGGGGACTAAAAACTGGCAGAAACAGGTGCCAGAGGAACTGAAACCAACACTTTTTGGCTGCTGATCACTGTGAAACCACCTATTTTATAACACATTTTATATTCTGCCTATGAAAAACATACACAACCCAATAAATGGTAATCAAGTCTTTGCAACCCAGAACAAGGTATTGATTCCACAGCATACTAGGTTGAAAGGTTTCTTGCATGCTCTCCTATTATTCATCCTTAGTTGAAGAAAACACAATACACCCAGAGTTTTGGTCTTATATTGAACAAAAATGTACATGGAAAATCTGATGGCCTGGAAAAAAAAATTGGACACAAATCTAGGAAGGGCTTTGTTGCATCAGACAAAAGCCTCTTGAGTTGAGTAGCACCCTCTTTCCTGCAGCATGGACAGAAGCTTGTTATGAAGATAATAGCTCTTCTTTGTTTTGTCTCCCCAGTGTCCAATATCTTTAAATGTAAGTTCCTAGAGATCAGTTTAACCATGATGGAAAATGGAAACATTTCTGAGAAATAATGCTAGCCCCAAAGACATAGAGTGAAACATCAGATTTTCAATACTTGAATATATATCCGATAAATATAAGAAGACATGGTCCTTTAAAAAAAACCCAAAAAACTCCCACATTGTATCAAATAAAAAAATCTATGTATCACAGACAGGATAGTCAGATGCCCATACTGAATGATATATAAAAACTTCTTGTTTATTATTTTTCATAATCTATCGTTTTAGGACAGACATGTCAAACACGCAGGCTACACCCACTCCGGCCCCACAAAGGCAAAAAATATCCTGATATGTCACAATATAGCCCGCAATGCGATTGGGCTAGACATCCCTGTTTTAGAATATACTGACAAATATGCCCTTCACAGAGTTTTATTTTTCTAAAATACACATGTCTTCCATTTATATACTCCCATCTAATTCAGGTGTTATTTGATGCATCTTTTAAATAGAAGCCCAAAATATTGTATCTTACACTGTACATTAGCAGTGAAGCAAATGCAATCTAAATGTGGATCCTAAACAAGCATAATTTGTCTCATCCATACTAGAGACAATGATCAATGTGGAAAACTATGAAGGACAACTATATTATAAGAAAAACAACAATTGTGAAAAAAAAACCCCACTGCTCTCAAAATACAGAGTCCCAAGGCATGCAAAAGAACGCAGAGCTCTGATCATTAGAAGGGAGTGTAACTGGAAGAATGGAACAGCACATCATCAGACAAGACTTCAGACATGGTAATCAACTAACAAAGGAACACAAGCAGGATTCAAAAGAGCTTCAGACCAACCCCTAGGATAGGGAATAACCCATTTACCCCAATTAGTTGTCCAAAATAGATTTCTCATGCACAATCGCAAAACTGCCATAGCAAATGGGCTAGTCCATTGGCAGAATGACTAGCCATGATCATGTAGCTAGTCTTCAAACAAACCATTCAAGGGGGACTGGTCATTGCAAGGGCAACAAGAAAATTACCCAAAGGAACATCGGTGCATGTAGCCAACACACTGGTAATCTCAAGTAGGAATCTGTTACAAAACTAAGTCGGAGCACAAGTAACCCAATTTTGCTTAGTAAAACTGAAAAGTTCTAGAAAGTTTGCTAGAAGAGAAAAACATACAACAGACTTTTTTCCTGCAAAATGTGACCTCATTTCAGCAACATCAATAGCAACAGCTATTTTTTCTCAAGAAAATCTGAACAATACTTATATCTGTATCTTGCTGACACCAGTTACAGTATCTTAATAAGCAACATCTAGGTGCTCTATTCATACACTTCACCCATTACTTCAAGGTCTTTCATTCCCCCTCTCCAAACAATCCTGAAGATACCGCTTATCAGTCCCCCCCCTTCCTTAATGAGCCGACCTTTCATTCCTCACCTCTGGGGTGATTTCAATTTTCTCATAGCGGCGTTTGAATGGAAGAGTTAACACCTCTGCTCTACGGTAAGACATGGGTGGAGGCAAGCAGTCAACCATCAAATCTGTGCGATGGGATTGGGTTGGAGGAGGCTGAGTATATTGCTCAGGACAAACCACATGGAGAGGCTGTTAGGAAAACAAGGAAAGCCGTCTTGAGATTTTCAGTAAGGTATACAATGCAGTTTCAACGTGTGGAAAAAAAGTTTTCCACACACTTTTTTCAAGATAAATTAATTAAAAGTATGTGCTGTCTAACTCCCAATGACTCCACATACAGTTTATATGCTGTATGTAGAAGGAGGGGTTATTTGCAAGGCTTTGCATAATAAAACTTACAGAAACTAAAAGATAGCATGCCAGGGAGAAAATGTCCAGCCAAGTCTGCTTTCTGTTTGGAAAGGAATGAAATAAAATAAAGTAATAAAATAGCTCCCTCCCCCCAGAGAGTCCCAAAATCAAGGTACATTCAACCATTATAGGACCATAAGACCAGGCCTTAAAAAAGCTATTCTGGGAAGATCTGCAGATGGGTGAATTTCAAATCCCAGAGTTTTTAAGCTTACAGGATCATTACTGAGAATTCATGGAGGAAATATCCATGAATCTGGAGAATGCCTTGCTTGGGGAAAACTAGAAAAAGTTAATTATACTGAAAAACTGAAGAAATGGTAGCTTGTCTCAAGCCTTCAGATCAGTTCATGTAAGGTTTATATTATAGTTCAATCTGAAGCACACAATTGGGCAATGCAAATGTAGATTGTATTGTAAATTGCATCATTTAGATAATGATGTCATTAGACAAATGGCAAATGAACACCAATCATACCATTATGATAAGATAACCTTTATTGTCTTTTTTTTTTTACTGTGGGCACAATGGCACACATCAAAAATGAAATTTAGTTCCAACTGAATTTTGTCCACTGAATGTAGTTCCTTTTCAGCTGAGATCTGGAAAACTGGGATTTTTATTGTACTACTGCAGCTCTAGTAAGAAGTTATGCTGCAAGGAATATAATATTTGAAATGTGCAGCTGTCTCACAGTGACCTTCCTAAATTCTGTGGGGCCCTGATGGCTACACTAACATGATGATTCCAAGTGGGTGAGAACAAGTCACACAGTCTTTTCTTTACAGTTGGTTTTTTTCCCCTCAACTGCTGTTACAATTATTTTAGAACTTACTATGTCCCCTGTGTTCCTCATCTCAAAATGGCAATCAGCCACATGGTTGATTTTTGACAATTGCATTGCCAAACATAAATGACAAGGAGACCTAGAGAGCTGGAAAAACGGGGTCAGAGCAACCTAGGTTGGAGGTTACCAAAGGGAGTGTTTTCTGCTTTTCAGATATAAGTCTGCATTACAGGAAGACAAATGTGAGTTGCATGCTCAGCAAAACTTCACATAATGCAGTCTGGCAAAAATCCAGTTTCTAACAAGATATTAGCCTCTTTGGAAGCCTTCAAATACAGTCAGTTGGATTTTCTTCACTGAGCAATAAATTGGCATAAAGAATATTTCCAGGTGCATCTGCAGAGAGGTTTTCATTAAAATGATGAAAGCAACACTGGACCATTGCAAGACAAACTCTACCACAAGAACATATTTACAAAAGGGATGGAATTTGTGTCCTGATGGTGTGGCACTGCTTTCATAATTTCTCAGTGCTTCACACATACACGCACACACGGTGCCTCAGTTCTATCATATATGACTGAATAAATTTTGGAGGGAGTCATACTTGGGTAAAGTATAATCTGGACTTGCAGTAAGCAAATTAAGACAAGTAAATTTGATTACCTGTACTTCTTTGAGTAGTTTAGACACCTGGATAAAATTCAGCCTGGTGTCTATAGGACAGTAGATGCACTTCATGGCCAGTGGCTGGTAGGGGGCCAATGCATCCAGATAAGAGAAGTCAGGCTCTGTAAACAGGAAAGGGAAGACACAGGGAGAAAGAAACCGAGTGTTTAATATTATGCCAGAACTTTATCAAACAACACACTCCTCTATAGGACTTTGGACTTTGGTTTAAATCAGAAAACAGGGACTATACATCTTGGGGACATCTTAATGATCAAGATTTCAAGCCCTGAAACAAAGAGGATGGATAGAATAAAGAGTTGGCTTATTAGTTCTAAACATTCCAAATTCTGACATTTGAATACAGACACAAAAGAGAATAAACCACATTGGCACCGAGAGTCCCTGGGCTTGTGGTTGTGTCTGCTAGCATCAGTTTTCTTTCCCACAATGCCCCAGAGCAATACTATAGCAGGATCTTTGCAGAAATTTACATTTAGAGATTTCTGCATATTTGATCAAGGATTTTACTACCCTCTTCTTTATTATCAATCTGTTGACTCTCCAACACATTATTTTAAGTAATTTAATTTTTCCTTCTTGTCCTACCCACTCATCATAGCCTCCTGATTTGAATGAAATCACTTTGACAGAAAAATTCAACAGGGGTAAGCTTTAGCCAATACATCTACCTCCCAACATTTTCAAAGACAGTCCATGAGTAGTACAATGGCCCCCATTCAGAATTAAAGTTTCTTGTCATCTGGCTTTTACAACAGCTTTGTTAATTGAGGTTGCTATCTGATCCATCATTCTTCTCCAACATGGTGCCTTCCAGATATTTTGGATTACATTCCCATCATCCATATGGGAAGAGACAAGGTAAGGAAAGTCATTGGATGCCCTGATTCTCGGGCAATTCCCACCAAATTTTGTGAGACCTAATTCTGAGTAACCACAAATAGGATTGTCTCATACCAGTTGGGCCTGAAAATTGGATTATCATCATCATCATCATCGTCATCAATCATGATGATGATTATATCTACTTTTACCACAGTGCTTGTCTGAAAAATAAGGAGCTGTATAACACTATAAAAATAGGGTTTCTACTGTATCTTCAAATTTAATATAAATAAATAAATAAAATGTGCTCTTATTCAAAGACTTCAAGGGAAGAGATTCCTAGTTCAGCTTATCCCTATTTGTTGACATCCCTCCCCATGAAATAATGAATCACAATTCCTATTACAAACACATCATAAGAAAGATACCACAGTGGGGAAGGCTAATCTAGTTATTTTCAGATAATCAATAGAAAATTATGTCAATTAGTCTCATGTAGAATGACAATGGCAATTCATCTAGAAGAATCATCACTTCTTTCCTATTGGAAATTTAATCAAGAGGCAGTGCCAACAGGGCGGGGGGGGGGAGGACAGGGAAACTATGTCTTGCATTTAATTAAATCTTCCATTAAACCAGAGTCAGATTAGAAATAGTTCGTTCTGCAACAAGGAAATTGAATTTGGAAAGAAGTACTCCTCAAACATTTCATCACTGAAAAAAATGTTTATATAATAGACAGCAATATTTCTTCAAAGCTTTTCAACATATAAAAGAAAGCTGTGGGCTTGAGCCCAAAATATTTTTCCAAAGTTAGTTGAGCAACCCTGTTTCAACTTCAGTATTAAGTTACATGAACATCTTTGCTCTGAGTTATAGCAAAAACTTAAAGTCCTGTGGGAAAATTCAGAATGGCCAGGCTGTCTGTGACAGTCCCCACATATCTAGACACAACTACAAACAAGATGTTTTAAGTAAAGCAGAAAAAACAATTCCTGAGAATCCACATAGGGCATTTCAATGGTGAATGTTGAGCTCCAAGTGCTGGATTTATTTATTTTTGGCTTCATCCAGCAAACCTACTTTTTCTTGAACACAATGTCACGAAACATGATTTGTGAGTCTGCTCTTGGAGTTGGTTCTGGTAAAAGTGTCCCTTTTAGCCAGAAGGATGCCAACATTTTAATTAATTATTCAAACTTGATCAAATTTCAGAAGAACTTTATTAGCTACTCATTTCCCTTTCAGGCCCAATTAAAACTGCTGCTCTTTATTTTTAAGGTCCCATTTACTTTCCATAATGATAAAACGTCTGTGGAAAACCATATTGGCTTTTATTGGAAATGAAGTCTCTGTGGGCTTGGTAAAAAGATGATGATGCATACAGTCTGTGAATTACTTACCCAGGTTCACACATTAGAAATGCAGCTCTGTTTTGCTATTAATTACATCAGAAATCATACCTGTAAATATAACAGTGTTGAGACTGGATTTCCCCCACAGTTCCATGAAATGCACCACATCGCCAAACCGAAGTGAGGGATGACCAGTGAACACCACACAAGGCTGCTTGAAGTCATTACTAAAATCTCCATGGATGCTGGGGTAATGCTTCAGTTTGTTTGACTGGATAAGCTGGTATTCAGAAGGAGGAAGATGGTTATTTGCTTTTTTCTTTAATAATTATTTTGAAGACACATTTTGGTGACTGTTAAACTGCCCCTCCACCCTCTGTTCATAGAGGATAAATATGGATTTTGGCCCTGCTTCTCAGTTTTCTGGCTAGGATCATGTGGTTGTAATGTCTGTTCTTATAAGATTTAGTTTATAAATAAAGTAACATAGCAATATTGTAGGCTATACACTCTGTAGTTCCCAGACAGAGAAAGAAAGTACAGCTCCCAAGCCAAATATGGTTCTCCTCTTCTGAGCATTTCTTCCAGCAATGAAACCTGGAGTGTCAGAAGGCAACTGTAGGAGATGAATTCTTTTGTAAGTAAGAATTCCATCTCCAGAGAGCAGAGATAAAGGGCTCTGTAAGCAAGTCTTGCCAAACCTGAAATAAGAAGCTTTGCCTTGGTGTTGCTAATGGACATTTTCCTTGACAAGACAAGAACAATAATAATAATAATGCATTAAATAAATGCATGCAGACTTCTGAAAACACATTCAACTTCTTCTTGTTTCCCATTGATGGAAGTAAAAGAATCAGCTTCAAGGATATCATTTATATTATATTGACCAAAGTCTCCAGGGGCTGGAGATGAGAAAAAAAAAACCCAAACAAAAACCAAATACATTCTCTAAACTTAAATTGCAGCATTAAAAACAAGGGCTTTCAGTCTCCAACAGCTTGCTTTTTCTTTCATGTAAAATGGATGCAGTTTGGAAGGTCAATAAGCAGACATGTAAACTGCAGAAATCTACAAGGCCACTCTTTTTTTTAAACAAGGCCAACATATATAGAAATCCATTTTGCCTTGATCTGAGTTCTTCTCCCAGTTTCACAACTGGTAAGGAAGCAGCTGTCGTGGACTTCCTACATCTCCCAAGCTTTTCTCATAGTTTACAGCTCAAAAGACCTTTCATTGTAGCCTATACTGTTACAGGAAATCATGGAGCTCTGGTAATTAGCGGTTTGGGCACAAGACAAGAGACAGGAAGCCATCTACTAAAAAAGGCAACAAATGAAATGACATTAGCTTTCCATAGCTTTGGACTTAAAAATAACACCCATTTCAGCCACACCTGGAATACAGAGACCATGAAAATCTAACCAAGCAAAAAGTCCTTATTAATCATTTGTCCCAGAAAACCACCATAGGAAGGTTGCATTGTTCTAAATTACTTATATGTTGGGCCTAAGAGTTAGAGGGTCTTCTGTTTATAAACATAAGACCCACAGAATAGGAAGGGGCCAGTCATCAAGTCAGGCCTCCTCTTCAGTGAAGAAATCCAAGTCCAAGTCCAAATACTTGGGCTGCCTGCCTGAACTCATCCATAATTCCAAGAAAAAATAGTCTCAGAAATTATCTGGGTCTGCAGACTATGAAGGATTATAGTTAGCCAAAGGAAGCAAGAGTAACCTTTATCTGGGCTGCACTTGGTCTTTGAATGATATGCCAGGGACGCAGTCTAAGAAATAGGGTGTCAGGATAAAAATAAAACGTTAATTAAAATTAAAAACTAAATAGCTTAACAAACTTATATATGCACTCTCTTTCTGTTATTCTAAAATTATAATTAATCAATAATTTTGTTTTCGGGGGTGGGCACAGCCCTAGGGAAGTTAGTCCTACTCCGCTAAAGAAGCTATATCCATCTTTTCCCATTTTGAATGAATGAAATGGCAGCAAAGTCCTGCACATTTAGGGAAACCAACTTACCTCTGCATGAGGAAAGGGAGGTTCTGGTAGGTATACCTTCGTCTGCTTGTTGTGACATAACCTAAAGTTGAAAGGAGAGGGCAAAACAATCCAGAATTATAAGCCTGTCTGACCAGACACAGCAAGTAACTGCTGCCACCTACTGCTCAGCTCTTCAGCCAAAGTTTGATGGCAGCAACAGTCAAATAATTAAATGAATCTGGAGACTTCTCCAAGATCCCCCTGAATGTCTATATCTGGGGGTCCTTTGAAAACTAACAATGTAATCATAGTATATCCCTTCATGGGCATCAGTCCTGGGCACTTATGTCATAATAAATCTGTAAGTCTTGAAGGGATTAAAATGACTTTTTGGGTGTTTTTCCTGTATCAGACTCAGATGCTTCCCCTTCTGTTGATTATTTATAGAGGAAGTGCAGTTATAGAAGAAAGAGACAATAGCTATGGTTTGGGGAAAGAATTTCTGGGAGCTATCCTTCTGGAGGACTACCAGTTCCCTATCTGGCCTTCTTTCAGGGATCTCCATGGATCAAAAATCAGAGGTTAATTGTTGAAATAGAACTGACATTGTCTGAATCCCATCACATGGATTATATGTCAATAATAAATAGGACACACAACACTTCTCCAAAAGTGCTAGCTCAGAAAGATATGAAGTACTTCCGAATGTACAGAATAAGAATGGACAAACCAGTTTCTAAGGTCTCTGGAGTAGGTGGGCTAAAACCTTTGATGGAGGGTGTTTAAAGACAAACCTCTAAAGGCCCAAAACTCCATTTCACCCCCAAAGAGCTCTGAATGCCCCCCTCCCCAGACCAGAGTGCTTTTCCCCATTTCTCAGAAACATTAAAAAAAAAATGAAGTGATCAGCCAAAGCCTTGAATCTCTTTTCTGATAAACACAAGCTGCCGCCACCTACCATTCAGCAAAGATCTGGGAAAACTCAAGAGAGCTGTTTGCCACAGGTGAAATGAAGTAGAAGAGGATGTTGGAAAGTCCAGCAGAGTCAATGTACTGATAGAGACACTCCAAAAGATCATAGATCACTCCAGAGGGGTAGCAAGGGACCAGCACATTTCCTCCATTTCGAACTGTAAGAGCTTAACAAAGACACAAGGCAATAAAAATATAAGATATACAGTTCCAATAGTGTCCAACTAAATAAACTCACAAACATGGCATAATGGCGGCAGCTGTCCCTGTGGTTTCTCCTCAACATGAAGATACTGAAAGATATTGTCTCTGAACACAGAGGTTTCATTAAATGGCAATAAAGTAAACAAGCATTGGCAGACTCCTCTGAATTTAGAAAAGACAGTTATGTCCACAATTATTAATTCGAAACCTTTTTGCATACATATTCCATACATTGTGCAAAAGTGCTCTCTTTTCTATGAACAGAACTAGTGCTTCATGCTGGTCCATTTCACTAATAATAGTAGAGTTCTGTATTCATTTCTTTTTGCTTTATATACTAGTAATCCTGAAAAATGCATTTTTCCAACAGCTGCTCAGATGTTTCAGAAACTTTTTATGTCTCCATCCCTCTTCTATATTCTATGTGTGGCTACTCCCAAGTCTGTATAAACTAATACTTGTTTGAAATGGTATAGGGCAGGGGTAGGCAACCTTGGCTCTTTTATGACTCTTGGACTTCAACTCCCAGAATTCTGGCTCAGGAATTCTGGCTCAGGAATTCTGGGAGTTGAAGTCCACGAGTCATAAAAGAGCCAAGGTTGCCTACCCCTGGTATAGGGTCTCCTGCTTGAGCAGGGGGCTGGGACTAAAAGACCTCCAAGGTCCTTTCCAATTCTGTTAGTCTCTTATATTTTCTGTTTAAGGTTATCTCTTTGTTTATTAATTAATTTAAGTATCTAATTTTTCTCTTCAAAACTAGGGCTCTCTTGGAGAAGCCACAATTAAAACTGAGAATCTAACATTTTTTTCCTGTAAAAGGTATGTTGTTGTTATTGTTGTTAATTGTGAAGTCGTGTGCGACCCATCGTGACCCCCCTTCCTGTCCTGTACCATCTTCTGGAGTCCATTTAAGCTCACGCCTACTGCTTCGGTGACTCCATCCATCCACCTCATTCTCTGTCATCCCCTTCTTTTATTGCCCTCAATCTTTCCCAGCATTAGGCCCTTCTCCAGTGAGTCCTTCCTTCTCATTAGGTGGCCAAAGTATTTGAGTTTCAACTTCAGGATCTGGCCTTCTAAAGAGCAGTCGGGGTTGATCTCTTCTAGGACTGACCGGTTTGAACGCCTTGCAGTCCAAGGGACTCGCAGGAGTCTTCTCCAGCACCATAGTTCAAAGGCCTCAATTCTTTGTCGCTCAGCCTTTCTTATAGTCCAACTTTCACATCCATATAAAAGGTACAGAAAACAGTATAGGCAATACAGCGGGATAATAAAAACTAAGTTATAAATCAGCAGTTGCTGATTTTTGCGGCCAATGGGAGCATAAAGGAAATTTGAGAGTATGTTATGGATATTATTATGGCTGTCATGGGAGGCAAGATCAAGCATAAAATACCCCATGGCGGGTACACTTCCATAGAAAGCAATGGGCAATTATTTTCATTTTTCAGGATGCCTCCAATAGAAATAAAGATTGTGCTTGAGTTTGATGGTCTTGCTTTGCAGCTTGTTAGCTTCTCATTTACTTTTTTTCCAATTAATTAAAAAAAATAGAATCAAGTGGGTTCATGGAGCCCATCGCATGCCTAGGGAAACGCCTTGTGGGCCCTACACTTATCAAGATTGTAAGTAAAAATATATAAAAGATCTGGAAAAATAGTTTTTAACATGGGGCTATTTCTTTGCTTAGTGTAACTCGGAATAATAGGTGGCAGCCTTCTCAGTGAAGAAATCTTCTGGCTTCAGAGAAAGTGAACCTATCCAAGATTCTCCAGGCCAGGATGGGTATATAAGGGGTCTTCCTATTCCAATTTAAACTTGCTGGAATAATAATCCAAGTGTTGGTGCATTCTTGCTTCCATAGGTATTCTTTGGCTTCAACTTCTGGCTCTGGTTTATTTCTTAGGTAAGACTTACTATTTTGTCCTTTGATTTCTAATTCCCACCTCCTGACTGACTGCAGATTATGCTATGTCCCAACCTGACAACGTAGAGATGCAATCTCAGTGCTATTCTTTCAGGGTCTCTGGCACTGTGCAAGCTCAGTGTCTCTCGAACTAGACAAAGGGGAGACACAACTATCTCTGGAACATAAGTGTAATGGTATGAGGGAAGGACCTATGTTAATATATATGGTGGTGGAAGAGAGGTACTTTCAGATTTGCAAGATTGATGTCAGCCTTACAGGGTAGACCAGACTGGAAACCAAACCAGATGAGATAATCCTATTTTATTATATAGCTCCATTAACGGAATCTTGCAAGTCTGAAAGTACATCTCTCCCCTGCCTGCCCCCGCCTTCTTTACAGCCCAAGAAAGTAGGGAGGGTCTCTTCTGAGCTTCTTGTCCCAGCCACATTCCTGCTGTGGGTTCAGCTGCTTTTTATCCAAGCATTCCCTTAGCTGCATCTCTTTGTCTTGTTTCTCAAGGTAATTTCCAGATACCATTACAACAAGTGATCTAGCTCTTCTTATCACCCTTATCAAGTTTAGGCATCTTTTAGCATCTTAAAATTATTCACATTAGTATCAAAGTAAAAAAAAAAAAACAATATAGATGGATCACAACCGGATTAAGTTTTACCTCTCCCCTTCTGGAATTTAATTTCTCTGACCTTTAAATATGTAGGAACATACTGATACTTATTTTTTTGGTCCATCAAAACAATTATCTTCTGAGAGTAAAACAAAAATCACGTACTGCAGCCTGGTGTTATCAAGGTAGACTAGCTGCTATCAACAGTACTGGACTTATGAGGTAGTTCTGGACTTATGAGTCTGCTATTATGGTCATAAGTCATGAATGTTGTAAAGCAGGTCATCACCAACCCAATTTTACAACATTTTTTCCAGAGGTTGTTAAATGACTAACCATGGGCGTTAAGTGAATCTGCAGTCATTAAGTGAACCTATTGTTCATTTAATGACTGCAGATTCACTTAACGCCCATGTCATAAATCATGGTCATGTGCTTGCAGGATGCTGCAAATGATGGTAAATGTGGGCTGGTTGCTGAGCGCCTGAAATGCGATTACATGACTGGGAGGGGGCTGTTGAAACTTTGGAACTATGTTTTTTTTTGGGGGGGGTGTCCATCATAACTTCAAATGGTCCCTAAGCAACTGGTCGTAAGTTACAGTTTTTGACATTACATTTCTGGGCTGTAAAAATCTAAATGACCACTAGATGGCAAATTAGCTCAACTCAACCCACCCCCAGAGGCCTCCTGATCAATTGGGCCACATAGTCAGGATCTGAAATCTCTGGCATTTCAAGAATCATGCTCCATGGCACAGCTTTACAGGTGGCCCTGAGCTCTCTGGTCAATGGGAGGAAAGAACACAGAATAACAGGGTTGGACGAGACCTTGAGGTTTTGTAGTCCAACCCCCTGCTCAAGCAGGAGGCCCTACAACATTCCAGACAACAGGGTTTCCAATATCCTCTTGAAAACCTCTAATGCTGGAACACCCACAACTTCCGGAAGTGAGCCGTTCCACTGGTTACTTGTTCTCACTGTCAGGAAATTTCTCCTTAATTCTAGGTTAGATCTCTCTTTAATGTCTTCTGCTCTCAGGTACTCTGGAGAATAAGCTGACCCTTCTTCTCTGTGACAGTCCCTCAAGAACCGGAAGACTGCTATCACATCATGCTTCGTCCTTCTTTTCAATAGACTAGACATACTTAAGGCTTGGACAGGGAAAATGGGATGAGATCCTGGGACTGTCTGAGAGAGAAACAGGAAGTAACTTATTGGGCTGCTTTCTGTTGGAAAAGAACAGCAAGCCAGCAAAATCTCTCTGCAAGGCAACGGGAGGGAGGGATGGAATCAGCCAGGGAGAAAAGAGGGGGAAGCCAATAAAAACAAGACTGAAGCAATGACAGTGTTCTGATGAGCAAAGAGAGAAAAGCAAAAGAAAAGCAGGATTAGAACAGATCTTGCTGTAATATTTTCCTTGATTCTATCATCCTATACATCAGTGGTGGCGAACCTATGGCACGTGTGAGCCCTCTCTGTGGGCACGCGGGCCGTCGCCCCAGCCCCACCTCCCCCCGTGGCCCCCTCCTCACCAGCAGCCCCCCTGGAGGAGAGTCACTCCCGGGCGCGGCCTGTATGGAGCAGCGCAGCCAAGGACATAGCCAGGCAGCAGGGACAAGACTCCGCCCTCGTGCCTCATAGCGTGCAGATGATGCTGTGGGGTGTGGGCGGAGAGCGTGGCTGCCATGGTGCTGCAGGGTTGCCTGGGCAATCTGCTGCGGCAGGCCATGGAGGTGGTACGTGGTCCTGCGGGCAGGCGGGGCAGGGGGCTGGCAGGGACGGAGCAGGCAGAACGGGAGGCGGAGCAGGGGCAGGGGGCGGTTTTGGGTCTCTAAAAGTTTTGCCATCACTGCTATACATAATTCTTCAAGTTCATTGCATATTGGGGTTTTAAAAAACTGCCAGCTAAGTGATTACTTTGCACCTTGGATTAAGAGTCTAGATTTTATAAAAAGTACTAAGTGTTTGATGGCATTCTATGATATTTATTTTCTTCCTTTCTGACTTGCTTGCTATGAAGACTTTAGAATTGCATCCCTTTAAGCCGGGGGTAGGCAACCTTGGCTCTTTTATGACTCATGGGCCTGATAAACTCATCCTTATGCACTGCTTTCACTAAGACCCTAATTAACACCTATCGCCAGGAGAGGGCAGCAGAATTCCAGAAAGCTATTTTGACTAAAAGAAGCACAAATCAGGAAACAGATCCTGGTATTGCAATGTACAGACACACATACACGCATACATACATATCCTTCAAAGGATAAAAACTGTAGGATGGATTAAACTCTGCAAGTGTCATCATGCTGACTTTCCAGCAACTGCAGCGCAAACATGTAAAATAATTAGTAACTCATACAAGGGAAGGTTTGTGAGTTCCTGCAATGAAATATTTCTCATAGCTAGCAGGAAGGTAGAGCCAAGGGCTCCTTTGGACTGTCATCATCATTGCTCATGAGCTCGATGGAGAATATAGTTTGACAGTGTCAAACATCAGAAAGGGCTATGTTGGGAAAAGTTGCTCCGAAATATGTAACTGCAAAACAGTTGAGATGATGTCAAAATTCTATAGAAAACAACATAATCCTGATTATAGCCATGGATCAATCAAAAAGCAAGGAACATCCTAGATGAGAAACAAACAAATGAGGAAAGTAATCTAATGCACATTTATGCATTATAGCAGAGGTCACCAATCTTTCTTGCTTGGTGGACTGGAAGGAAGGGGGAAGCATTTTATGTGCAAGTGCATGTGCACACGCATGGGGCCACGATCATCCGTGTGACACAAATGGGACGGGGCTAGCGCTTGCATGATACTCGTTAGCCCTGCCCCGTTCTTGTGCACAGTGTCCTGTTTCTGCGCCCTGAGGTGCGGTGTTGGCCCTTTTGTGCCACGCGGTGTCGCAGCATCCTGTTTTTGCACCACGCAATGTGGTGGCGTCCCGTTTTTGTGCCCCGTGGTGCAGCAGCATCCCATTTTTGCACCCTGCGGCGCTAACGCAAGTGGGTGAGTACGTGCACATGTGCACGCACTGGCCAGGCTGTCCCACGGCCTAGTGGCCAGCAGCCCATGGGCCGTGGCCCACAGGTTGGGGACCTCCGCATTATAGGGTAAAGGATATAAGATTCTCCATAAGGAATTCAATCACAGGTAAGCATCTGAGAACATGCATAAGGACCTGGACAGTGCATAGCCTATTCAGTCCCTTTAGAGTGGAGCTGGACTGAGAATTGGAGCTACAACAGTCTGGTGTAGTTGTAAAGGTGTTGGAATAGAAACCAGGAGATTGTGAGTTCTAGTTCCGATTGAAGAAGAGCTGGCTGGGTGAGTTGAAACCAATCAATTTCTCTCAGCCCAATTCACCTCACAGGGTTATTGTTGGGCAGAAAATAGGAGGGAAGAAGTATCATGTAGATATCACCTGGAGTTGTATAAGATGGGATAATAATAACAATTACAATTAATATAAAAGTCGACAAAGCTTAGCCAGCTGAAAGTGAACAGAAACACACCTGAACTAAGTAGGATATGGCACTCTTCCCACTTAGAAGATCTAATTATATTTATTATTATTTTAATAACTTTATTTTCTTGCAAGTTGCTGTGACGCCATTTGATAAAACAGGCTATAAAACTGGGCAAATAAAATGCTTCTCCCCTCCCGATCACATGGACTATTTCAGGCAAACTGGAATATTATACTGTTTGCACTCATGACATTGTACAGCTCAACAATTATCAGTTTTGCTGACAGTGAAAATTAATTTGCTAGCTAGTTCTAAATTTGTAATCACAGCTGTGGTGATACCTATCTATAAACCAAAAAAAAAGAAAAGAAAAGAAAAGAAGTTCATACCAATTTTATAAATGGAAATTATAGGGAATTGTTGATAAGTTTGGTTGTCCTTGCCAAGGGTTGTAATGATCAGCGGAGAATACAATTACTTTATGTAAATGGAGACAAGGGTCCATAATAAAAATAACTCAAAAGCCATTGCTTAAATAAAGAAAAAATAAAACGCCAGTCTGGACTATGGATGCTGTGCATAATAATTAATACCATTAGAAGAAACATGAATTAATTAAAAACACATACCTTCATAGGCACACACATATAATATCAGTCTCTTAAATGAAAATCCAAGAACAAACTCCAAAATAGACTTAAGAATGTTTAATATAATTGAAATGATGGGATTCATATGTTTTTAATTCTGCTTCAATTAAAGCCCCCTTTCCACACTGGCGAAGGAGAGATTACTTTGTTTCAACAAAGCATTTTATCCTGGGCAGTCTCCTCTACAGTGCCCTGCTGCTTCCATCCAAATTGTATTGCTACCTGTATCTATTTTTATCTCCTACCTAAACCATAATGGCAGAGGATGAGCATAATAACAGAAATAAAAACCAACCCCTAACACAAGAAATCAATCCAAATTCTAGTGGGGAAATATGCCCTTTAAAAAATCTTCCTCCCTAAGGCTACTTGAAGTCCCTCCGTTCTTGACTGCTGAGGGTTCATAAAGAAATGAACCACTGCAGCTACCAGGTTTCTACCCAACAACAACCCAACCCTTCCCTTCCTCATCCCTTCCCTTCCTCATCCCTTCCCTTCCCTTCCCCATCCCTTCCCTGTATGTTTCAAATGTGTATAGCTCCTCTGGAAAGTTGCCGCAAGTGAAATTCCATCTCCTTCCTCAAACCTTGAACTTTTCAGAAAAAGTAAGGATGGGGAATGAGTTGTCTGGGTGCTTTGGAAGCATTCTGGAGTCTAAAGTCTTATCCTCAACATATTCTTGGGAGCAACATCAGTATCAATGGCAGATTTGGAGCAACTGTCCCTTCTCAGGGTCACTCATGCTTTGTCACCTTGCATGCAGGTTATTGCAATGTCATATACCTGGGGTTGCCCTTAAAGACCACTCAGAACCTCCAACTGACCCTGAAGAGCACCAGCGTTGTGCCTTGGTATTGCGCCTCTTTGAGTTTCTGGCTACAACTCTAGGAGCGGGCTGTCACCCCAAAAACGTTTCATGGCACAAGGCCTGGATAGCTGAGAATCACCTTTTCTGTCATTGTTTTTGACTGTCTCATAAGATCTGATAAAATGGACTCACTTTGTGTTCCATCAATCTAATAATGCCATCTGATGGAGCCTAAGAAGCAGGCCTTTTGTCACGATATCTGCCCTTTGGAATAGCATCTTCCTAGAATAGTGTTTTTCAACCTTGGCAACTGTAAGAAAGGTAGACTTCAACTCCCAGAATTCCTTAGCCAGCATGCCAGCAAAAAGATGGCAGGAGACCTGTGCTTTTGCATCGAAGACAGCAAAATAGAGGGTGATACTGTATTATCCTGCTTATCAGTTTCCCAGAGACATCTGTCTGGTTACTGCAGAAATATGAACTGCTCTGATTTTGCAGCAAGATTTTTTTAAAAAGAGCACAGAGCAAAAACCACTAAGTCTTTCTCCATCTTTTCCTACCCCATAGCAGAGAGACAAAAGACTGTGTAGCAATTAAACCAGAAGACAAATCCACAAGCAGACATACAAACTCAGGATGCTGAATTTTTATAAAGCCAAATCCCTGATCCATCTAGCTTAGCACTCACTACTCTGGCAGTTTTCCCAATACATTTTTAGATCATTGTCCTCAGTCTTAACTGAATCTAGGACATTTCCATGCAACCTGTGAAGTGCACTATTAAATTACAGCCTCCCAGATTTCTTGCTCTTAAGCCTGAAGCTGGGAAAAAGAACAGGAATTAATCCCATATTATGCAGAGGTGCTGCATGAAGACCAGCCTCCAGAACTGCAGGCGCATGGCCAATGTTAATCAAAGGCAGACTGTATTTCTGGATTTGGGGTCATGTCTCCTTCTGCTTCTGCTGATTGTTCAGTGATTAAGCATAGGAAAAGGGATAACTGGCAAAAGGAAATAATGTTTCCAAAGAATGCAAATAGATTTTAAGTTAGCAAAACAGAAGATGGCGTAAGATTGTATCTTATGATTAATGATTGTAACAATGAGTTATGATCTATCACTTGTCACTTTGTTGTTGTATGTGTGTACACTGAGAATTATGCACCAGAAATGAATTCCTTGTGTGTCCAATCACACTTGGCCAATAAAGAATCCTATCCTATCCTATTTGAACTATGGTGCTGGAGAAGACTCCTGCGAGTCCCTTGGACTGCAAGGCGTTCAAACCGGTCAGTCCTAGAAGAGATCAACCCCGACTGCTCTTTAGAAGGCCAGATCCTGAAGTTGAAACTCAAATACTTTGGCCACCTAATGAGAAGGAAGGACTCACTGGAGAAGGGCCTAATGCTGGGAAAGATTGAGGGCAATAGAAGAAGGGGACGACAGAGAATGAGATGGCTGGATGGAGTCACTGAAGCAGTAGGTGAGAACTTAAATGGACTCCAGAAGACGGTAGAGGACAGGAAGACCTGGAGGAACGTTGTCCATGGGGTCGCGATGGGTCGGACACGACTTCGCAATTAACAACAACAATCCTATCCTATGCTATCCTGTTCTGTCCTGTCCTAACCTAACCTACCCTGAGATTCTCTATAGAGCTCCATCAAAACAGAATTTACTGGCAGCAATGTTGCTAATATTTAGCGGAGAACAAAGAGGAGCAAATAACTTAATCTCATTATGCCAGATCCAAAATAATTCTCCCTTCCCAAAAAGAACAATTTTCATTTCTCGCCAATTATATTTGTGAGAGAGACAAAGGCGACCTGTAAAAATACCATCTGACCTATGCCATAGAAGGAGAGAAGAAGCAATCACTTGGACTGATTAAATGAGCCTTAGAGATATTTCCTACATACTGCATATATTTCCCAAGTCAGAATTCAAAGCACACAAAACCACTGCCCAGCCACCTACCAAGGTTACTGCAGAATTCGCCCACCATTCCATCTGGATTGGCTGTGGGAATCTGGGTGAGTCCAGTCAGGATGAGAACATCACTGTTTTTAAGAGAAGCCTGATCCATGGGCTGAAAGGAAAATTTGAGAAAAATCATTTATGTAATAAATGGGCAGTGCTATCCATCTTAAGCAGTGGTTCTCTAGAAAGCAAAGAAAAAGACAGAAATACAATAAATAAATAGAATCAGTTAAACCTGGCAAGGGCCATTAAAAATTGCTCTAATGAGATATACATCACATACCAGCCTATGCTAACATCCAGGCCCCAACGCCTGAGGTAAAGCCAGGTCTTTATAGCCTTCCAGAAGGCTAATGGGGTCAGGATCATCCAAATCTTGGGGGGGGGGGCACCAAGACAGAGAATACATGCTTCTAAGTCTCATCAGGTGATATTGTTTCACTGAAGTGACCCAAAGCATGCCCACCTAGCCAGATCTGTAGAACAAACATAAACTATTGTAGGATAAGCAATCCTACAAACATTTCCTGAAAATAAATATTTAGGCTAGTACAATGAAAAGATGTGCCTTATTTGTAGTGGCTTCAGGGAGTTTACAAAAGATGACCCTTTATTATGCATTTATTATACTAATCAGATTTGCATGCAGCCCCAGAGTTCTTCCAAAAGCTACTGCTGAATTATACTTTGACTGAATTATAGAAAAGGGAATTATTAAAGGCAGTAAGCAACCATATTCAGTTTTCATTACATTTATTAATTCCCTGGTTCTCTCCCCATTTTAAAGGGCCATTTCACACATTATATTCAAATGCCAAGTATACCTTATTAGTTATCCTAAAGAAGCTGCAGACTCTGGATTTGCTAATTTTGAAGTTGACAGTGAACTTCTGTCTTGCAAATATACTGAACTAGTTGACTACACAAATACAAAAACATATTTTCAAATTCAAATAACAAAGCACATGATAAGGAACCAGAGTGCAAGAAATATGTGTTATACAGATGTGATGTTTAATTACAACTCTTTATCTTAGGAACTAAGATGTTTCTGGATCTTTTCAGATATACCTCTACATTGTCCTAGCTTTGGGGAACAAATTAGATCGGATGTATTGATTATCACAGATTCCAACAACAAATGGCAGTATATGTGGTACTTAAATGCTGACAAACATCTCCTGGACAATTTTGTCTATATTGTTTCAAAAAGTATCTCTGTCCCAGTGATGGAAGGTTGGGCAAAAGTCAAATATAAATGAACAGTGTGACATAGTGGATGGATAAAAAAGTTCTTAAGACACTTTCTAAAAACCAACACACAACAAAATGCAGTAGCCATGAGATGCTTGTCAAATGAAAATGCCAATAAACCAGTAAAAGTATCATTGAATTAGCTGTGGGAAATACACATAGCAGTCAGGTAGGATTCAATAGTCATAATTTCATCTTCTATTGACCCAAGGTGCTGCTATTGATTCCCGGAGTCAACCTTCAGAATAATATACTTTAAAAGACTTTTGACAAATCTTCTGGGCTGCCCTATCTCCTTCCCCTGCCATTATCAGCTCCAATTTTGCTTTCTAAGTCAAGAGTCAATTTTCATAACTTATTGTTGCTGGGAGTTGTATTGAGGCAAAGTGTCCTTGGAGAAACTGTTCGTTTCAAATTTCAACCAGAAAACATCTTATGAGTTTCAGTTATTCTGAAACAAGATAAGCTTTCTGATAGGAAGGGCTCAAAATTAATCAGCCTATCAAACAATGGGCATCTATTGAAACTGAAAGCAACAGTCTTTTTTGGCTGTGTGCTTCCCAGGAATATGATTCTATAGTACACTTTCTTTGAAAATGGAAGGTCCATTTTAACTATAATTCCTGTGAAGTTCAAGCTGCAAGTGAGTGCCATTGCTTAAGGTAGCAAAAAATCCCTCTTCTCTTTTCAACCCCATACACAAGAAGTATCAGCAAATTTACAAGAACTCCTGAGTCCCATGACTGTGAGGGGGTTGCATATAAATTTAAATAAAGAGAGACAAGTCTTGCCTTAGAAGTTGTGGGTGCTCCATCACTGGAGGCTTTTAAGAAGACACTGGACAGTCATTTGTTTGAAATGGCATAAGGTTTCTTGCCTGAGCAGGAGGTAGGACTAGAAGACCTCCAATAACTCTGTTATTCTGTTAAATTCTATATTTGGAGGATATAGCAAGTTTCAGAAGGAATGTCTAAAGAATTCTAAACAGCCCAATGAGATCAGTGTGCTGACAGATTGCTTGGGGAAGGAGGAAGGACCCCAATGGAGAGGAGTAATATAACAAAATACTTTGCACTTTGTATTCTGCCACAATTTGACGCAGTTTGTCAAAGATTTGTTTTCTCAAAGGCAGTATACGGTTAGAAGACTCTTGCATCATACGTTGCTTTGTTTCTCTTGAAAGCCATATAAGACAATGTCTATGGCAGGGGTAGGCAACCTTGGCTCTTTTATGACTTGTGGACTTCAACTCCCAGAATTCTTGAGCCAGCCATGCTGGCTCATGAATTCTGGGAGTTGAAGTCCACGAGTCGTAAAAGAGCCAAGGTTGCCTATCCCTCGTCTATGGAGACAAAATTATGGATCTTGTGAGAATTAACGTCCTGGAAACAACATCTATAGACCATTGCTTACCCTCTATGTCAGTGCCTCCAAATGAAAGAAATCCTCTGCATATATTTTTTCAATATTGTAGTCCCTTCCATTGCTAGACATATTTTTAAAGTTTTTCTAAAACATGTAGTCAAATTTTGCTTGCCTGCAATTTACTCACAACAGGATAGGCTAACTTGTAATTGCTTTGGGTCTCCAAAACTTTAAAACTGTTGTTAAACCAATCATTTTACAGTGTTCTTATTCAGTTTGCTAATATCAGATAAATGCCATGTGTTCTTGTTTTAAAACATCAGCCACTATATATTTAAGCTCTTGGATGGGGGCTGTTTAGATTTGGTATTGATTTCAGTTGGTGAATATGGTCTAGACCAGTGTTTTCAAACACAGCAACTTTAAGATATGTGGATTTCAACTCCCAGAATTCTCCAGCCAGCATGCTGGGGAATTCTGGGAGTTGAAGTTGCCAAGTTTGAAAAATACTGATTTAAAACTTTATCCCTTGTTCATAGTATTTGCTTAACTTCCTCAGACACTGCTCCTAAAAATATTACTTAAGACAGGTATATTTACCTCATATTTTTGTTCTATAATGAAGACAGAAATAAGGAATTAATTCAGCTTCTTCACCAGCCTATTTTTCTTTTTACTACTATACCTTGCCAGTTGCTTACTTGTGATATTCTGAAATAAATGTTTACCAGTTGGTCTTAACATTAGTAATATCACACTTCTCAACACCACGCACCTGCCTCATTATCTTACAGCATGTTTACATTCCTTTTAGTACTTCTTGTTTGGGAATAATTCTGTTTTCTGAAAGGACACTCTCTTTTCTCCAAAAACATTTCTGAAACTGCTTGTTAAGTATGCTTAATGTCTTTTCTGGCCCACAGAATATTTTTAGATGAATTTCTACTGTTACAGTTTTAAGCAATTCTTAAGTACTTCAGGAAGGCCTTGCTCCCCTTTTCTATCCTCTTTTAGTAAACCGTCTTTGCAGAAGTTGAAATCAAATGAAGTTATGTTGGACATAAAAATTTTCTTTTCCATAACTTTAAATAAGGAGGGTTCTCCTTTAGAATATGAAAGGAGAATACTTATAATTGAATTTTCTTGAAGTAGGTGCATAAGGAGCAAATACATCTTGTTGATTGTTCCTTAGTGAATTTTAACGTATAGGTCAGTGGCCCCCAATCTTTTTGGCTTGGCAGCTCGGGCGAAGGTGGAGAAGGGATGGTTCTGTGTGAGTCGTTGATGTGTGCGCAAATATGCACAGCTCTATTTGCACAAGTGGCTTCTGCAAGTGGAGTTGCACTCAAATGCTCACCTGTCACTTGTGTAGCTGGGTTCCAAATGAGCTGTGGCCCACTAGTGGGCCGCAGCCCGGGGACCCCTAGTATAGGTGATCCTTTGGCACATCCTGTCAAGACATTCTTTCTCATTTGCCACAACTCTTGTTAAACTTAATAGAGGGTTATGTCTACAACATCCTGATTTTAATTTTTGATTCAGCCGATGTTCGAATGAAGTATTTATATGCAAAAAAGAGAGGGGTCTCTCAACTTCTGGGAAAAAACAAAGGATGTATGCATTGTATATATCAAAGTATGTGCATCTCTTCTATTGTACAATATGTAAAACCTTTTGCACCTTATTCAGGCCATATGGGTTAGAAATATGCTTAAAATGATAGTAAGGAGTTGCTCCTTTCATTCTCTGTTCAACCAAAGTGCTTCCTTTTCTGAAAAGACACATCATTAACCTCACTGTATCTGTCTATGTTTGGATTGCAACTGGAGTTCCCTTTGTAATGTAGAATCTCGTCTTCCTTTTTTTCCCCTTCCTATTGCAGATCCCTACACTTTGTTAGAAACTCATGCAGGTGATTGGGGATTCTTGGGAATTGTGCATTCAGTGGCCTCCAAACTTTATTTAAACTGAACCCTGATTTAAGATGTTCAGAAGGTATCACGTGTGGTAATCCTTATAAACAGTCAAATAAGATAGGATGGTGATGTGATCCTCATATTGCTGGTACAGACTAAGGACAGCCAACAGGACTGGGTTAGAGTGAGACCTCAAATCTTGCAGCTACTTTTACTGTTTAGGTTCTTAACCTGATTGAACAAAGCAAGGGGCTACAGTCACAGTTAAAAGTAAAACTGATGGAATCCATGGCTGCATCTCTGAAAATAAGGATGTGGAGCCCACCGCTCTCCTTTATAACAGCTTCCTTTGTAATATAAAATAAATAGTGTGTTTTTTTGTAATTATAAAAATCAGGTGTGGCAAGGCAAGAAGGAGCCTTGGCTGCTAAGCTGCGTTGGTACCAAAACTAGGTTTAGATTATGACAGAACAGGTATGTTTACAGACAATAGTATTGTTCTCAGGTACAGTAAGAACTCCGGAACTCATGACTTATTTTCCTCCATTTTTTAGATACGTATCCCCCAATAAGCAATGATGAAATGGATTAAGCCAGAGAATGGGGCTAGAATCCTTGGAAAAGTTCAGCATGTTTCGGGTTGGTATTGCCAACCCGAAACATGTTGAACTTTTCCAATCCGTGCAGAATATTGCCCCATGGGTAGGAAAATAGCAGAATTGCCATATGCCTACTATTTAAATCCAATCAACACAAACCACTGAAGAAGGGAAATTTCACTACCACACCCCACGAAGATGTGGTACCTGTGGATGTGTTGTAAGAAGTGAGGATCCTGAGACATAGGAAACCTTCTCATAATGTGACTGGATGATCCAGTTGGAGCTGCCCAGTGCATATCCAGAACTGAGAGGAGAGACTTGCACTGCACCAAATAGCTCCTGTGGGAGAAAGGAAGAAGAAAACAATTGAATTCTGAATGAAGCTGCCCCAGAAAATAAATTTCCACATGTGCTGTTCTTATAGTAGTCTTAGCTAACCGAGTTGATCTCCATGTTCAAAGGCAATACATCCATGGAAAACACATGGAAAATAACCAAGAACTAGAGAATGCTTAGGAATTATTATCTGCTTCTGGTTTTCCCAGAAACTTTGATTGGATTGATGTGAGAACAGGATTTTGGATTTACATCTTCTTACATCTGTATCTAAAGCTGTTTTCTCTTTCTTTTTAAAAGTAATTCAATGTTTATATTGAAGACAATGATATGGAAATTATTTAAAAGGAACACAAAAAAACAAACACAAATGTGAAAAGCATCCACAAAAAATTATAATCAAAGTTCTTTTAAAAGACTGTACAAATAGAACATCTATGGCTAGCATCAACATGGATACATGAGAATGGATACATAGGCATAACTGAGGAGGTTTGTGTGGAACTGTTTCCCAGTTAAAACTGGAAGCTGTGGGCAAGGAGAAGGAATTTATGGATACGACAGCTTTTTATTTCATTCAGATTTTAATACAGTCAACAACAGATAACTATCCTATGATAACATGGATACAGAAGGAAAGAAGACAGTGCATATTCCTCCCCGAGTCCTTTTTTTTTTTAGAGAAACTCACAATTTTCTGGGAATATCCCACCAGCTGGATCTTACTGAGTGCAGAGTTAACTTCCTGCATGTTGTAGCATCTTCTCCATGTTGCAACTTCAACAGCATCTTTCAGGGGTGCAGGAAGCATCCTGGATAGAAGCACATTGGATTAGGGCTTGCCAGCATAATAAAATTCTGGACTCATCTGCTAAAATTCCAGAAAATTATATTATGAGGAGAAAAAAAAGAATGGGTTGAAGAAGAGCACTTTAATGAGCACCTTGTGCCAACTTATGGTACATCTAATAAAATGAGGCGAAAGTCTAGTCTTTTTTACCTTTCTAGCATGCTCTACGTTTGAGGAATTGAAAGATCAGCCATTGTTTTCACTCCACTGTTGTCGTCTCAATGCCCTATAAGATGGAATAGCTTCCTCTCAGAACAAGATTATGGTTGATCCAAGGTCCACAGCTGAAGTGGACTGGCACTGCCAAACTCCTCCTCTGATAGTATAAACCTACAGTGATCTCATTGAAACCAATCCAGTTTCTGTATCCTTCATATCATAGAAAATCTTCCATCTTAATTAGCCCAAAGGTAATATTTGAAATAAAATGGTCTGCTGCTGAATTATATTCCTGGCTAATTGTTTTTTTATTTTTTAAGCTTCCTGGTTGGCCTTTTGAAAACGGGTGTTTATGACTGGCCATGTGAACAGATAGATCTGCTCTCTTTGACCAGCTGTTCCACTTTCCAAAATCCCAAGGGGCCCACCAGGAAGACTAATGATTTCTGCACTAACTAGCAGAAAACATCAGTCACACTTTGTAGGCATTTTACACAAAGAAACATGCCCCTGTTGGAGCTCTCAGTGTTTCAACTGAGAACTCTTTCAACTATTTACAGTAATGTTCTAGGCAACCTGACTGGAATAGGGTTTGGTGCATTGCTTTCAGTCTTTCTCAGACCATGCCAGGAAATAGTGCTGGGGGACTACAGTTCACTACCTTGATCAACAGCTTGTTCTAATCTGTCACCTTTGCTCTGCCACATTCACCTGCCAGATGGTTCCTTTGCAGTGTTTCTCAACCTTGACCATTTTAAGGCATGTGGACTTCAACTCCCATAATTCCACAGCCAGCATTGCTGGCTGTGGAATTCTGGGAGTTGAAGTCCACATGCCTTAAAATGGTCAAGGTTGAGAAACACTGCTTTAGAGAAATGGAAGAGAGAGAATAGAGCAGCCTGGCCTTCTGCAACTGGGAGCCCTCCAACTTTTCTGAGCCTGTAAATCTTCCAATTCCTGCCACCAAGAATTGTGGTCAAATTATCTAGAAGGTAATGACATCACCAGATACCTGGAGGGGAACCACAGTTCTGTGAATTTTGTTATTATTATGACTATTTTGCTCCCTGGAAAAGCTATTGCTTAAAAATACCAAGAAAGTGAGAGAAAAACATAACAAGAAACAGCAAATGACAGCATTGTAGCACATAAAAAGAATGGTTATCTCCTGGGACATAAATCTCTTGCAGTACTAGGAAACCAGGCAGGAATGCAGTGAAAGCTGCCAAAGAGTGGAAGAAGAATAGGGTCCTTATTTTGTATATTAAACAGATACTAAATCAAAAGCTCATTCCAGCTCATTTCCAATGATTAATGGAAATTGGTCAAGTTTTGCCGATTTGCTTATTTAAAAGAACTTAATTTATTGGGGAAGCTGTTGGGTCAATGACCTTCTTCCTATAATTTAAGACACCAAAGGAAGCATTAATGATGGCTTCTGCCAAGATTGCCTATGCGCATAGTATGCAAACTGCCAGTCCAATATATCCCAACAGAAAGCAAGGAACATTTTGTCCTCTTCTGAGGAATAACAGAAACTTAAGGAATAGAAAGAATTTTTCAACAGAAAAAAAAAAATTACATCTAGCATTTTAAGCATAGCATCACAGGTGTTTACTGAAACACGGTAGCTCCTAAATTAATCTGCTATTTACAGAGAAATCTGGATTATTTCTCATCTGGAGATTTGAATGAAGCTCTTCACTGGCAGTGGGGTTACATAATTATAAATACTGTGCTGATACCAAGAGACTTAGCCTTTTAATTCTTTCACTTCTAATTCCAGAGTATTTATGAATAAGTTAAAAATGGAGATCATTGGAGGAATTCCAATGTTTATTTCCATCCATTTCCTTTATGAAACTTATTCTCGACTTTATGACTTTGAATAACACTGGTCCATAAGAGACCAGTCATCTGATTTTATGAAGGAGAGAACTGTTTTTGAATTGATTTTCTAAATTATTTCTTTAATGGAGCATTAAGGGGACTTTAGTTTTAGACATCAAATCATCTCAAGAAATAGATAACATTGGATAATTGCATATTATTCAGTATTTAATAATTAAGAAAGACTTTGAAGAATTTGAAAGCAGAGTAGATCTATGGAAAGCAACAAAGAACCAACACTGGATGGAACCAGCCAAGGAGCCAGCACCTCGGTCTGATAAAAGCTGGTAAGTATGGAAATCATGAATAAAGGCCAAAAGTATGGAAATTGTTGAATAATAGACTGTGCATGAGTACAACAAGATCCAGAGACATTCTGAACAAATGGGGCTGTCTGGTGGCTTCTGTTCTTTGCGATTGTAGTGACATGCAGACAACAACACATATGTATACCTGCCCTTTGGGTCCAAATCAGTGTACACTTGAGGACTTCATGGCAGCATGACAGAATGCAATTAATGCTGCTAGTTTCTGGGCAAAATCTGTTTAATTTGTACATATTTTAATCTTGTATTTTACATTTTAAATTTTATATAGTATGCCTTATTTTAATTGTCATGTTTCTGACATATCTGGTTAAGTGGAGCTTACAAATCAAGACCTTGGACACCACATTGAAAGTTGCAGTATCTTTTCATGAAGAGAGTTGGTGTTTCACCAAAGAATTATAATATCATATAATAATATAATAAAGATTAATTATTCAACTGACTCTGTTATTCTAATTTCTCAATTCTTGTTGGATATTGATTAGAATTTCCATGACAATTTCTCAATTTTAGGATTATCTGAGAATAGAAACATAAGAGTATCATTTAATATTGATGGGGGACCAACATCTTCAGGCCAGAAGGCACAGAAGATTATACTAAAAATTCTGTCTGCGATACGGAGAGTCATTACATGTTGACATCCGGTTTTCTTTCTGTTGCTCTAATTCAGATCCCAAGGGCATCTCTTCTGGTTCTATCACCTGGAGCAGAGTTCTGGCTTTGTGGACCAGCGGGGGGGGGGGGAGATCATGGTTCCTCATGAGTGGCTGGCAAGCACATGTGCGCAGCTCCATTTGCATGAGTGGCGTGCACATGCGCCTGCTGCTCACTTAAATGGAGTGCTTGAGCAAGTGAGGATGTGCATGTGCACACGTGCACTTGCCGGCAGTTTCCATGGCCTGGTTGCAAACCCCCCATGACCCTCTAGTAGGCCAAGGCCCATAAGTTGGGGGGCCTTGACCTAGAGTCCCAAACAAAACTAGGCTTCTCTTGCATGGAGATAAGAATAGCAATAGCATTTAAGACTTACATACTACTTCACAGTCTTTACAGCCTTCTCTAAGCGGTTTACATATACATACGGTTAGCATATTATTCCCAACAATCTGGATTCTCATTTTACCGACTTCGCAAGGATGGAAAGCTGAGTCAACCTTTAGCTGGTCAGGATGAAACTCCAGACCATGGGCAGAAGTAGGATGCAATACTGCATTCTAATCACTGAACCACCAGGACTCTTCTTGATGAATTTCTTTTTCCACTGATATAATTCCTTGTATGAGGCTAATCAAGCGGTCAATCCTGCACTTACATAAGATCCCAATGTGTCCCCTTTGGCTTTCCAACAAATCTCTCCAACATTTATAGAGAAAGTGCCATTATTGAAGAAGGAGAGTGAAAAGCATTACCTTATTATAATCCATTATGACACCATTTGATTTACAAAACCTCAATGGGGTTTGATGTTGTCAGCAGTTGGCTCATGTTATATAGAGTAATGGGGTGGAAACATAAACTATTCCAGTGCACTTAGTATATTTTTCTACAAAGCATTTTTTCAAGGACTCCAAAGCTTATAGCTTTACCCAATAAAGATAGCAACTCAATTGTATGCAACCATTTAGGGCTGAAACAGCTAAGCTGCAAACAATCTTGCAATAAAGCAACACTTTTGATGTTATGGAAGTCAGAAAGTGTGGGTATCATCAGCAGCCTAGCACAGTTACCATAACTAACTGAAAACAAAAAGAACAGTCATATTCATGTTGTATTTTATAGACATCATTGCCCTCAGCAAAGAGGTTCTAGTATGGTCACAGACAGTAACACACAACAAGACTAAACCTATTCATGACTGCCATTGATGAAAACAGTTCTGAGAACAAGATTGCGGGGAGATCCCTGCTGATTTATGGGCACTGACATTGTTGAGTTCCCAAAGTCACTGTTGACATGTACAGGGTGCTCCATTCTCAGCAGAATGTTGAAGTCAATACAGGTCAAGTTCCACATAGCACCATTAAGTAGCCCAGAGCCAACTCAAGGTATGCAATAAAAGTTAAATGTCAGCATTGTGTTGATCAATCCTAATTCAAGGACTAAAAATTCACTTCTGAGACATTACACCAGCAGAAATCACAGATAAGGGAATTTAGTTAGCAATGCCTTCAGTTGATTTACCTGGTTGAAATAGTGGAAAGAGCTGTACAGTATACAAAAGATGGGCTTCTGGTTTTAAGCCCTTGATTTTTCCAAGGGAAATGAGAAGGGAGGAGAGATTTTCTAAAGACAGAATGCTGCTAATTCATATATACGTAAGCTACCATTTAAACCCACTTCTGCCAAGCATACACAATATAAGTACATTTTTTGAAGGAAATAAATGCTTGAGAAGGCTTCTAAAGAAAGATATCTTTCAGCAGCCCAAATCCTAGCTACATAGGGCTTTAGTTATCATTAGCCTTTTGAACAGTGCTGAAGGTTAAACTGTTTTAACCTTCAGGCTACTTATAATCAACCCTAATTAAGGTACTTTGTAACATCCTTGACCAGATAAATTTATGAAGATAACCATACACAGTAATCCAAATATGAAGAAACTAAGTAACCAAGGCATGACACAAATGACATTTCCAAGTATAGAAATAGCTGGTGTAATAATAATAATAATTAATAATAATAATAATGATGATGATGATAATGATGTTGGAAGGGACCTTGGAGGTCATCAAGTTCAACCCCCTGCTCAGATAGGTAACCCTACACCATTTCAGACAAATGGCTGTCCAGTGTCTTCTTAAAAACTTCCAGTGTTGGAGCATTCACCGCTTCTGGAGGCAGGTTGTTCTACTGGTTAATTGTTCTAACTGTCAGGAAGTTTCTCCTTCGTTTTAGGTTGCTTCTCTCCTTACTTAGTTTCCATCCATTGCTTCTTGTCCTGCCTTCAGGCACTTTGGAAAATAGCTTGACTCCCTCTTCTTTGTGGCAGCCCCTGAGATATTGGAACACTGCTATCATGTCCCCCCTCGTCCTTCTCTTCATTAAACTAGACATACCCAATTCCATCAACCTTTCCTTATATGTTTTAAGATATCCTATGTTTAGAGAATGAGATGATGGAAGATCATGTTGTGTACCGGTTGTGCCCTTTCTAGAATGTGAGGCCCTGCTCTCAGTCCTGGATCATCACGCACTTGGACTATTGCAATGTATTCTACACGGGGCTACCCTTGAAAAGCATTCTGAAGCTACAGTTGGCATAGCATGCAGCAGCACAGTCTTAGGGGCCCCTAAAGTGACCCATGTAACACCACTGTTACATGAACTGCACTGGTGTTGGTTATTACCTTTAAAGCCTTTATGGCATGAATCCATTGGCCAGCCCCACTCTCTGCAGCAGAAGGGGCATGCTCCAGACCCCATCGGCCAAGAAATTGCAACTGGTGGGGTCCAGGAGAGCAAAGGGCTCCCACCCTGAGGTGAGATCTCCCCCCAACTTCTTGGTTTTCTGAAAGGCCCAAAAACCTGGCTCTGCCAACTGGTTTGGGACCTCAATTGGAGTATCCATTTTGGAGGTGGCCAATAGATTAGGAGAAGATCCCACTCTAAAGAGTCCATTTACTGATTCTTTTTATCCACTTTGTTCTCAATTTTAACATTTGAACTTTCAATGCCTAATATTTTAATCTTTCAAACTATATAATTGTTTTATACTTTTATTTATGGCATTGTAAGCTACCCTGAATTCTTAGTGAGATGGGCAGTGTATAAATTTAATAAATAAAGATGCTGCAGGAGGAAGGAGACTTGCCTTCAGCACATACCCAAATGAATCCCTTTCTGCAGAATCAGGGGCTGAACCCATCTATTGCCTTCTGACCTTCTGGAGGTTGCACTGCTCCCTTTGGACCCAAAAATTCCAGCCTGAAAGGAACTCTGCAGACAATGGTCCCGAAGCAGACTAATAGCATATGAGGCATATCAGATTCTTCTAACTAACCACAAGAGTAACCTGAAACCCTTTTTTGGTCCCAGCACATATTGGTTTTTGGCTGAAGCAACATTTGAGCTAGCTTTTTTTAATCCTTGCCTTTGCTGACCCTCAGGCAACAGAGCAACATCTTGTTTTACTCTAGATCTGCAGTGTTGCTGTCCATATTCTGATCATGTCACCTGCACTGCTGGAATCTGATCCCTTGCCTCAGTCACCTCAAACTGAAATACCCTTCTATAGCCTGGCAGTTTTCTTTGCTGGTGCCCTGTCTTGGGAAATCCTTCTCCAGATTAGCTTGCCTGATGATGGCCAAACCCATGAGGGCTGAGGGTAGAATAAGGAAATGAACTATAAAAGAATTAGTGAGCTCTCAGGGACACCTTTCAAAAGGATGAGGAAGATGGGAAAGTGACAAGAGTTCACTTACCGTTGCACATCCTTATTTTTCCACAAGGAGGCAGACTGAGCCTTTGGCACTCGCTCTATAAAGTTGACCAATTCCTCCATAAGAAGCCTGAAAACAGAAAAGGGCAGCTGAAGGCCTCAAAATGAAAACACAGCAGGTTGAACTGACACACTAGAATAAGTTTCTGGGGATATTCCAAACAGCTGAATCATGCTTGGTTTGATTTCTCAAACTGGACCAATTCTTTATGTTTGATTGCTTCTCCAAATGAAGCATTCTTAACAGAGTGGATGAATATTTACCCTAACTGATCACTGAACGCAAGGCAGCTGAGTGATACTGCTGCAACAGAGGCAAATATGATTTTAGACTGTGTGACAATATTAATTTAGCTAAAATAATTACAAGTTATCTCCCCAGGTAAATTTTGTCAGGTATTCCATGTCAAGTTTTCATAGCAGCTACCCTGTGGTTTGTTTCATTAAGCTTTACTGTCATCACCCTGGCACATTGGTTACAGAATTCATCTGTTGTAGAAAAGGGAGCAGAGACTGCCAGGAATAGGAGATCTCAGATGACCATTGAAGGGTCAGAGTCTAATTCTTTACCTGTTTCCTCCATTGATTAAATTAAGTGGAACTACTCCCATGGAACCATTGATGGATGCCAATGTTGATCTGAATGTCAAATCACTACCCAACCATCAACATTGTGACAGTACCAGTAAATTGGCCAATACAAAGTCCAGATGTGAAAAATGATCTTATCCTGGAACACTCTCTTAGAAGAGATGAACTGGTGAGAGTACCACCTAGGCATCAGTATTACTTTTTTTTTAATGTCAATAGTTTTTGTCTGTTGTAGCATGGTTTCTGCACTATCCATTCAACTTTATAATTCTATAAAGTTAGTCTTTATTTTGTCACATCCCAAATTCAAGTTTAGAATCAAAAAGTTGTTGATCATTTTTTCTGAATCCTAGAAGTGACAGCTAAGAGAAGCAGTTACTCACTGAATCACGTGCCAGAAAGTAGGATGGGACATAGACAAAAACATTTTTTAATTTCCATGTAAATATACTTGAAATTGTGATACTTAAAAAGTTCTATTTCCCATATTTTAATTTATTCCCATATATAATTTGGCAGCAAATTTTGAAGAAGCTCAGGGTCACCTACAATTCTGAGTGTCACATCTGCACTTCTCATAAACATAATATTGAGTTAGATAATATCCTAACTCAATTAGAACCCAAAGTAAACAAGAAAGCATTTAGTAACCGCTCTAAAGCCCTTAATAATGGGTCCATTCTTGCAAAATCACAAGGGATAACATTTCTACATTATTCTGTTTATGTCTGACTTCATTTAGTGTCCTTTCTCTAGTTCTAGATGTAGAGTTAAAAGGTAGGTGGTTTCAAAAGATGCCCAAAGTGGTAAACCACATGGAAAATAAATCCTATGTGGAAAGGCTGAAAGACATTAGAATACTTAATATGCAGAAGCAAAATATCAGATTGGAAATATGATACAGATCAAATATGTAGAAGGCAGATTTCACAGGGCCGTACTAGCTTGAACAGTTAAATCAGAAGATAACAAAAGGTAGATTTTGGTTAAACATTAAGTTAAATAATCTGATGACAAATACATTACCAAAGAAAAAAAATAAAAAGGAACCAGATAAATATTCCCCCATTCTACTAGAGTTCTTTAAGTATGGGGAGACTGAGCCTATGGATTTCCTATAAAGAATGGGATTCTAAGGCTTATAAGCCCCTCTCCAGCTGTGACATTTTATGATTCAAGCTCAGTGAAGGCTAGGCAGTCCTCCCTCTTGGACCCAGTAATAATCTTTAGCAACTTGCAAAATTTGGGAATTGTTAGAGAGATTCTTTTTGGTTCCTTTTTCATTACACAGCTAGGGCTTTAATTTTCATGGCTACCTTTCTTCAGTACTGCAATACTCATATAACTTTGCCAAATGCACAAGTCTGAATTGATTTTCAATATTTGGGAAACAAGTACTGTGCACATGCTTAAAATTTCAAAGACTTCTTTGGCTTACTTTCAACCAGTGGTGGGATTCAAATATGTGAACAAGCAGTTCTCTGTGTGGATGCCGCTTCCGGAAGTCCATTCTGGGCCTGGGCAACAAAAAATTAGTTACCAGTTCTGCCGAAGTGGTGCAAACTGGCTGAATCCCACCACTGCTTTCAACCCAGTTAAATGTTCCTCAGGTTCATGAGAAGCAATGTTTTTATGCTGTCCATTATCCCTTCTCTTTCTCTTTGCCACTTCTTTCAGCAGTGGAAGAAAAGGGATTAGATAACACTGCCTTAAGTAGATTTTCCTTACCTGCCAATCTGCACTGTTGGCTCAGTGGCATACACAGTTCCAGTGAACCCAGTGTGTTCTGTGATGTAGGGTAAGGCCATCATGCAGTGGTAATTGGAAATCAGGATCACATCCACTGTAGACAGGTCAATCAGTTCCATCTGAAAATATGACCCAGAAATACATATCAACAGCCCGAGCAATGCTTGGATTAATGAAATTTTGCCCACCATTCATCTGAGAGTTCTAATATGGACAGAACATGCCTTTAAATTATTGTTAGTTCCTATTTATATAACACACTGTTCTATATAAAGAGTGAAGAATTATCTGGCTCTTTACCTTAATTTTATTTATATATAGCTCGGATCTCCAATATGATGCTTGAGGAGCCAGTGAGCCTTCATACACCTCCCTTGCTGTCCAATGGGTTCCTGACCCCACTTGACATTTTCATTAAAAAAATATTTAAAACCGGAACTTGGCATCTTACTGCCAGTCTGAGTATCCTTTTTATTTCTACGAATGCCTTGCAGACACCAAGAGTTCTCCTCCTTTTAGAAAATGAATCACTCTCCACCAACCCAATCTCAGGAAATGCTGTAGGTCTACATTTTGAATGGAAGGAAGACCTTCTGCCAGAAAAAAAAAGAAAGAAATGTAGGAAGGAATAAATACATAGCACCTTGCTGGAAGGGAGATTAGGAAAAATTGCAGTTCCAATTTAGGGAGTCACAGCTTTGTAATGCGCACAGCCAGCATTATATGAATGGGCAAATGTCCCTTCCAGCAGCTATTTTGCAAGAACATTCCACACCATGTGACCCCAATTCCAAATGTGCCTATTAGTTCAAAAGAGTAGACAACCCCTGATATACATTTTTTTTTATGCTGCCCAGTAACTGGATTTTTGAGTGGCCTGCAACAATACAACAAAGGACAATAATATACCTATAATTAATAAAAGAAAAATAGTGATTTTCTTATAAAAAACGAATAACTACAAATGAAACATTGCATTACCAAAGTCAGGTAGAAAATTCAGTTCCATGGAACTGAAAAGCCTACACGTACAAATGTGTACAAAAGTACACACATGTGTTGTCATTTGAAAGATAAAGAAGGCATCAAATTGGTGTCTCTTTAATGTCAGTTTTGTAACTGATGATGGCACCAACTGAAATACTCTGAAGAAATTACAGCTTCTGTGTATTATAGGTGAAATTATTGACTTTCTGAATAATAATATGATGAATAAAAAGTATCCAGCCTACCTATCCTTTAATTTTGTTAGCAGAAATTCTAACAGAATGGATAATCCATTCTTCAGAAAGTGGCAAAGTTGAATACTTGTCACCTTTGAGACCTTTGAATGGCATGCATAAATGCCCATGCCAGAACAACCCAGGGCAAAAAGTAGTTTTAATTTAAAATTATGTGATAATTTATTTAAATATGGCACATGTTCACTTAATTAACTATAGCAAATACAGATAACTTCATGTACTTGGTAATTTCCACATTTGTATGTGTACGTGTATATATGTGCGTAAACATACAATACACACACGCACACAGAGGCATATACAGTCAGACACTTTTCTGAAGAATGATGGTAATTTAGAGTCCATTCAAGTTTGATCTCAAAATCTTAGACTTAGCCAACTTCAGAGGTTGCACTCACATTAGAACTGGTCAGTGTTTTGTATTCAAGGGGAAACGGTGTTCTGGAGGGCATGGGGTGGTGGGTGGTAATGTAGGACCTCTCAGCAACTAATGAAATCAAACACCTCTAAAGTGAGTCTATTCAAGGAGTTCCTAACAGGTGGAGTAGGAATCCCCAAGCCCCATAGTCGAAAAAAAGGCAGTGCCCTTCCATTTGCTGGATTATAATTATAAAAAATAATTCCACATTGAAGGAAAAGTAGAAAATCCTCAGAAAATGAAGATGCAGCTGAAAGGTTGAACTTCAGGCTCTAGTTATGCTCTCTTGTCTACAGCATCTAAAATTACTTCTTGTCTTCTTGTTGCTAGATCTAAAATCTGTCCAATTTCAGGGTTGGAAATGAGTTTAATCGTTTTCAGACTATTCTGTGAGTACAGGAATAGAATCAGATAAAATGGATTTACAAGGCTGAAGAAAAAGATTTTGCTTCCTGTAATAAGAAATATTTACAGGTAAGGCTAAGACATAGGTGGACTCAATCTGGAAAATTTACCAGAAGCTTAACCTCTAACTCAGTTATTATGGAGCAACTAACAACATTCAATAATCATCAAGCAGAAAAATTATCCGTACACAAATCTAAACTTATTGATTTGAAGATAATAGTAGAGAAATCAATCAAATTGGCTGTTTAAAAACCAAATGTCTCATTCTAATAACTAATTATTGACGGGGGGGGTCCTTTTTATGTTGAGATTAAATTTGCACCCATGGATAATATTGAAATACAGTGCAGAATCATGACTAGAATTGGAAAGATGTGCTAAAACAGGTATTAGAAAAGTTTCTCATAGAGAGCAGTTGTTTGGTTCCCTTTAACTTAATGAGCTTGTGAAATCTGCCACTATAATAAAGTAATGGGCACAAGTTTTAGCCTTGGGGAAAATATTTAAATGCCATGATATGTCAATACTTACAAAGATTAGAACTGTGCAAGCCATAATCTTCCCTGTGACATTCTATGCAGGCAAAAGTTTGACATTAAAGAGGCAGGATAGGAAAATACTTTTGAACTTTGGTGTTGGAGAATATTCTTGAGAATATCATGGACAACCAAAAAAACAAACTAATGGATCATCAAAAAAATCAATCCAGGTTTCTCACTTGAAGCACAAATAACCAGGTTCAAACTGTTCTGTTTCAGATACTTTATGCAAAGACACAACTTTCTGGAAAAAGTTCTAATGCTTGGAAACGTGGAAGAAAAGAGAAGAGCAGAACCAGCAGCAAGATGGATGGACTCACACTGGCAATGAGTGCATAATTGGGGGACTTGAAATAAAGATTAGGGATAGATTGTCACAGAGAAAATCAATCTAGGTCACTAGGAATTGAAGATGACTTGATGGCAAATAATCAATCAAACAATCAATCAAAAGGAAGGTCAAACAAGTTCATGAATAGACTTATTCCAATGGTTTTAGCTTATTAATTCAAAGGAATCTTCATATGCAGAATCACTGTTTTAGAAGTGGGACAAACAGTAACAATAATAATAATAATTTATTTAATCTATATGCCTCCTAGTGACTCTGGGCAGCTTATAATTGTTAAATACCCATCTTCTTTCCCACTTATGAATTTATATAAAACATCCAGCAAGTTGCTAGGTGAAGATAAGCAGACCTTAGCCTGATCCATCAAAGCAGTCTCACCAGAATTAATCAATGGGGTACAGAGTTTCTCCAACCTGGAGTCAGCTGTCACAATGTCACACTCCAAAAAGTAATGGGTGAGGCTGGGACAAAAATTAACTTTGTTTTTATTTCATTTATATTTTAATTTAATTAAAATAAATCTTTATTGCTAAATAAATGTAATAAAAATAAACCAGATTACTCTCCACATATCTTCTAATAATTTAACATTGTTAAAAACTACAGTTTTGGTAATAGCTTCAAGAGATTTCTGAAGGCTATACTCACATCTTTTTAAAAGCTTTAATTTGCCATTGGGCTTTCTGATTGTATAATTTTGCCTTTAATGGTGGGAAGATTGACAAATAGAACAGATTGATACCAATTTATATTTAAGGGTGGGTTGAGTTGAAAATGTTCATCAGAACTAAATCAACTTCATTTTTAACTTCAGAACTTCCATCTGACATAGAGAGATTTTTTCCATTTGGTAATCTCATACAAAGTGACACAAATATCCTTAGGGTATCCGTTGAGTGGGATTCTGATTAAAATGCTCACTATCTTGCAGATTTTAACTCCTCCTTTCCTGGTTATCCTGGGTAGCCTTGATGACATTAGCCAGAAATAAACAGAGGGACATGAATTGCTCTATATCAGTTAAGAGAAGAAGCACTATACATATTGTAACTATCACACTTTGAAAGAAAATAATGGGGGAGAACAATCAAAAAGCAATTTTCATATCTACACATATACACATGTGTATATATATATATCTATATACACATACGGACCCAGTATATTACTGCTTTTGGAGGCAAGCAATATTATGCCAAGTGCAATAAAAGAAATGTCAATTAAGGGAAAGGAATTAACAATACAATCTTAGGCGCATCTACTAAGAGCAAGTATTACTGATTTCAGTGGGACTCACTCATAACTAATGAGGATATAATTACAGCCTAAACATATGAATTTATCCTGTGTTAAAGGAACCACTAGGGTGTTAAATAATGGCAGGAGTTCTCTAGGGTCTTAGGTAGGAAAAATATTTCCCTTAAAAAAAATCACCTAATGAAAAGTGAATACCAGAAATTGAACCAGGGAGCTTTTGCAGACAAAAGCAGGCATTTCTTTCTTTTACCTCTAGCTCTTGGCTACTGGTTGAATAGAGGAAAACAAACCATTTCAGCCTGAATTCCACAACTGAACTTTATGGTACATATTTGATCAGTTCTAATAAGAGAAACAAACTGGTCTATCTCATACAGCTGCTGAAAGACTTCCCAGTATGGGATCTGTGAACAATTTAAAAAAACATGTTGGGACTTATTATTTTACTATATTAGAAATTGGTATGAGCAGATCCATAAGCTGGCTTTGGGGTGAAAAAGAAGCAGAGTTAAGGTTTGGGATCCTAATTCCTTTAAACTGAAACAGGAGCAACAAGTAATTTGACAAAAGCCCTAAATCAGGGTTTTCCAACCTTGGCAACTTTTAAGACACATGGACTTCCCAGAATTTCCCAGCCAATCATGCTGTCTGGGGAATTCTGGGAATTGAGGTCCACATGTCTTGAAAGCTGCCAAACATGGGAAATCCTGTCCTAAATGATTGAGAAAAAAATGTAGCATTTCAGTAAGAGCTTAGGATGTATTCTTCTAGCAATATTTTCTCTCATGTAAGGCGAATGTTCTGGACTGCCCTAACTCACAGATGCCATTTTGCCATGAATACAGAACTAGTAAGCGATTAGATTTCTCTGGGATTATACTACAGTTCTGGCCAGATACCAATTCTTCCACTATTAACTACCAAAGACTAAGAGAAATATTTTGAATTGTGTCCAATAAGGAGACTCACCTCTGGCAAACAAAACTCGGGAACAGAGTCCACAAAGACACGGCCGGAACAGTCTTTCAGCTCCTAGGAAATGGGGTAGAAAGAAAATAGAAATTTAACTATAAGCAAACAGACCATGATGACATTCAGCACTGTGTTAATGGATAGTGTTATAACATTTTAGAAGAAAATTATAAAATAATTAACCAGTTTGTCAGATGAGGTAAATATATCCTAGGAGATGCCATTCCACTGGGCAAGTACCAATCCAAACGTTTTTCCTTAACCTGGCATTAGAGCTAGTGCTGAACAACACTGGACATCAGCAAAGGCTTACAAGTTAACATATGATCTATTTTTAATCAAGGATTCTGTCTGGGTACAGTTGAAAATTACCTCTGTCTCCTTTTGCTCTGTTGTATTTTTATTCCTTGACTTTAGATTCTTGGCTTTCTCTACTAACTGAAGCCCCACTTTTTATTCACTTGGCTTTGAAAACTTGTGCTTTTAATTCCTTAGCAAAGTATGGCCACATAAATATTCTAGATTCTTTGCTTTCAGGTCAATTCAAGCAGTCTGTGCCCCTTTCCTTAACATCTGGATCACTAACTGAGGCACATGCAAATAAGTTTGAGATGAAATAATGGCCACAAATGGAAAATTATACTAATTTTACCTCTGTTCAAATAGATAAAAGTTGTGCTATGTCTCTGTATAATTCTAAAGAGAAGGGGATTTTTTGAGGATGGATTCTCCATCTATGAAATCACAGCTATCCCAGACACAACATACTATCCTGCTCTTTCAAATATCTAGCATTAGGATTTGGATTGGTTTCTTAAGAAACTCTCAACAATTTTGCCAAGTTATACACATCAGCAATTATATCTGACAGAAAGCCCTTAACCCTATCAAAAGAATTTAGAAGGTGAATAATGGGTAAGCAAGGGGAATTTCAATGTCCCAATGAACATTGGATTTAAAACAACTGCACGCCAAATGCAGCAAAGACCAACATTCTCCTTACAAAATAAGGAGTTCACCTTGAACCTCAACTCCATTCTGTGCAGAACTAGGGAAGTAATTTGTCATTCTAAGCAAGCATAATGGTCCCTATCAAAGCTAAATCAAATTGCTCTGAAAGTCCTAATTTTAAACTTGTTTCTATGTGCCCCTTTGGATTCTGTCAAGAATCAAAGTCATTGAAGAGTCAATCGTGTGTTATGGTTAAAGTGATAGACTAGTGTTGGGAAGATCCCAATTCAAGGTGAACTTCAGCCATGAAAATTAAGGGCATGACTTGGGTGACTTTCAGATCTTTAAGGGGCATATCTGTTAAGCTCTTAGGAGTTACACTAAAAAAGGTAGGAAAAATAGGAGTTTGTGTTATGGAAATCTTGCCTACTGGTTATGTTTACTTTAACAACCCTTTCATCTCTTAAGTTAATTAGGGCAAAGATTCCTTGACCCTTTTGTCACTTCTTGATGCAACAGGAAGGTGATTACCCATTTTCCTGATAATAGAGGAATATATAAAAGTCTCAAAGTTAAAGTATTCTGCAAAATAACATCATTCTCAAAATCTTGAGAGGTTCATTGTATGACAGAGGAATCTTAAAAAGTGCCTTCAAGAGTTTCCAAGTATCATAAAGAATCTGCTGGGCAAAGTGACTTGAAACATATTTTTTGATACATGACATCTGGCCATACAGGGAAGCTTGAGATGAGTTCACTAGATCTTTCAAGGGCCATGCATGATTAGCTTGGGCACTGCCCCGCCTTGAATGAATATTAAAACTTAATACAAGTACAACTTAAGCAATACCCCGAAAATAGACAACATTAAGAAACTGTAATTGTTCCAATGCATTTTTCATTAGTTGTAAGGCACAAGACCAGGAAATATTAATTTCCAAGAGAGGTAACTGAAAAAAATAAATGGAGGGAGGATATTTTGTAATATATTTGATTTCCCAGCTCAAAATTGGACTTGAAAATCTACTCATTTTATTTTCTTCACTAGGTAAATGAATTTTGCTTGGACTTGGTTTCATTGCTTAATTAGTTGAATTCATTGGAAGTCCTAATCCCATTGGTACATTACCTTGTCCAAGAAAATGCTTCCATCTTTTAAGATCCATCCTGGGAGCTTGGATAGCCTTGGACTGTAGGAAAGTAAAAAAAAATGTTTTAATGCATTTTATGATGAAATCAGCACCCATTTTCCAAGATCTGCATATAAAACATCAATACTATATATACTTCAAAATAATGACATTAAGTAAGCATTTAAGAAAAAATTGCTGTAACAGCAGCTTGACTAATAGCTAAAGATTTACTTCAAAGTTTTTCAAACTTGGAAACTTTAAGATGTGTGGACTTCAACTCCCAGAATTCTGTTTTAAGAGGACAAACATTTAGAAGAAAGTAAGGTCACAAGACAACTTAAAACTCTAGATTATGGTGTTGAAATGTTCCAAGCCTATTAGCAATAGTCTCCCAGGTTTGATACAAGCGATAAATAAATTATTCCAAACTATCCTGGCATCTCACTGCGTAAAATAGGGGTGGGGGGGAAGTGACAGGAGAAACACTGAGTTCATGACAATGATGATTATCGCTTTATTTATTGCTAAAGAACCTGTGATTCATTGGTCATCCTTACCTAAAGAAACAGAATGACCATGGGTGAATTGCTATTGTTTTGGTTTTAAAATTAAAGAAGAAAACACCATTTGATTAAAGAAGAAAGATGCACAGCAAAGCAAATAGATGCTTTTTGTTTAACAAAGGATGCTTTTGATGGCATTTGTGGTTGATCAGCCATTTTTAAAAAATATTCTAAAGTTTTTACTTATTTTTTCTTGGCTTCAAGTGACATACAGCTGACCATACTGGGATACCAGTTTCTCCAGATAAATCAACATATTCTCCATGGTTTCTCCTTGCACTGTATATTTAGTCAGAGCAAAGCATAACTGCATTGGCAAGTATGTCTGCTGAAGACAGACAACTTCACTTTCTGATAAATTGAGCATAATTTTGGGAATCATGACAATGTCATTTTTGAAAGCACCAATGTTTATCTTTGCTACAATGAAATTCTTTGGAGTTCTTCCACCATCATCCTCATTCCATTGCAAAGCCTTGGAAGATCTAAGTTCCTCTTTAAAATGATAAGACTTCCTATTTTGAGTTTTAATTTATGTGGTGGCAATCCCAGGAGTTTCATTGAATCAAGGAATTCCATTGGAAAATGAGTAGCATTAGCTCCTTCACTGACAACATTGAAGAAACAATATTCTTTCATCGTTTCAGAGAAGAACATAATGCATATGGAATTGATTTTTCTCAACATTTCACTGAAGGGAACTTGATAGAGTTCTTTGGGAACAGTTCTGCAGAATTGTCAAATGTTTGGTAGATGAAATCTATACATTCTTCCATAGTTCTTGCTGGCAAAACCATATGTTCAGGTAATACTATTTTATCATTTTGATTTTTTCTGAATTTTATTTACTCAACATTTAATAAGAATTCAGACTATCTTCCTTCTCCCTCAATCAATTGTGTGTTTTTCTTCTGCTAAAGCTTCTCTATAAATTGAATTTGTTGATGCATAACTTAGCCACATCAGAATAATTTGGATGGATATCCGCCACAGCAAATGGTTAAAATCCCTCCCCCCCATGGCTTTAAAACTCTCCCTCCTAATCATGGGGGTTCTCATCCCCGATAATAAGCCTCACTTGTCAAAGCAAATGTGCAGCATTGGAGACTTTCAATGTTATAAAGAGCATTTTCATTCGCTTTGATGAATGCATCTTGAATGTACTGTCCTATCAGGCATCAGTGTTGCTGCAATATTGATGATACTATAGCAATAGCACCATTCCATCTCTCCTAAATTTAGTGAGGATCAAATTAGTAACAAATGTCTTTCCTGTTCCTCCTGGTGCATCAATGAAAATTATTGAAGAAAGATTGCTTTGCAAGCACTTGCACATTGTCATATACTGCTCTTTGCTCATTATTCAATAGAGGCTTGCTGTGTAGTATAAATTCCTGCTGTTTCTCTAGTGTATTGCAATTCATGCATTAATTGCCTGATAGCCACCATTTTGATTTTGTCAGTTTTGGCAAATTACATTCTTTAAGTGTTCTTCCCAATTTCATAATTTTTTTGGGGAAATACAGAAGAACTTGTTCATAATGTATCTTATTGATCATATTAGGATCATTAATAGTTCTCTCAATTTGGAGGAAATCTTCAATCACTGCACTCTTGAACCGATTCCACATTGTTGTGAACTGTTGATTTTACTATTCGATAACAAGATGACAAACAAATCTCTCATAGCTCTGGGGATTCTTGTTCTTTCAACATCTTGCATAGTTTGTTGCCAATGATCATCAGCTTGCAACAATCCTCTCTCTCTGCAGACATTTTTGAATAACGGAAGCATATGTCCATTATGTGTCTTCAATGATTTGAGAAATAGCCCCTTTACGTGATGAAAAAGCAATATCAAGCAGTGGTCACCACTTTGTGGAGAAACAGTATACACTTGATCAAGAACATTGGTTACAAAAATTCCAGAGAACTCTTCTAGTGCTTTCCCCATCTTCCTTCTTTCCCATTCTTATTAGTCCATCTTGGAATATCCATAGTGTTCAGCAGTTTTGAAAATGGATCATGTTTGTAAAGATCCATGAATTCTGTTAGTGTGGTTCTTGCCATATTACTGTTCAGTACACAGTGGTATTATCTCGAAAGAATATTCAATGTTTTTGTGGAAGGTGTACTTGAAGGCAAACAATAATCAGTTCCTGTTCATGAATCTGGAATCCAGGTATTGATGCAACAGCTTCAGAGGACCTAATGTATCTGCCTGTCAAGTGCTGTGTGATTTTTGTCTTGTCTATTTGATGCAAAAACTGTCTAATTACTTCCCTTCCTGGTATACTTGATGTTGGATTTGACGGATTTGACAGATGACAATATAGGCATACCATTGAGATGTCAGTTGAACACCTTCAATAATGTATTATAGGGTACCACCCATTAAGAAGTTTTAGTTCAACTCTGTTGTCCTGCTTGATGTACTTCAAATCCTCCTGTAGATAGGATATGAATCATCACTATACCTTGTATGCTGATTGAATGGCTTTCGGTACTGCTTACTGAATGTATCATTTTTCTAACATCCTGAGTAACTGCTGCAAAAGGGACTATCAATCATGTGCTTTAATAGCAATTTATGCAGCTCTGGATGTTCATTTGGGTCTGGTATTTTGGCTTGCACAAAAGTATCATATCTGTCTTGGCTTGGATGCTTCATTAACTACAGCAAAGAATGCAAATGAGAAAGATACTGCTTTTGATATCCATACTTAGCACATAATCTACCTACTAACGAGACCATGTGTTGCACTATGGTACTTCAGGAACAACTTTGTTTTCAAGTTGAATACTCACAATTAAATCTGGTTGCTGATGAAAAAAATGCTGTGTATTTCTGGCCAGTTTGAATTGCGTGTCACTATAATGAAAAATGAAATACTGCCATATTTCTGTATATGTATCATGGCATCTTGACATCATTTCATCATATATCTTGATCCTCCCACAAATGTTGGAGAGAGGATGATGCACCTTTTGATGTTTCTAAAATCATCATCATTCAATCACTCAGACTGCTGTATGTTGTTGTTCTCCAGATTGCTTGATTCATTTGGATGTAACTCAGCCTCATGCTTTCAGTCTTAGCAGTCATGCCAACCACGTATCATTGTAATAGACATCCTCCTCTTAGAAGGTTATTAAACTCATTCTCATGGTTCATTATTCAATATGTTTAGTAATGCATCACTGTTAGTTTCTTGTTGTTTATCATTTGAAACTGATGGTGCCAGCCATCATCTCCAAGAAGAAACAAAAATATGCACTGAAAGCTGTCATAGGAGAGATGAGACTCTGAAATTATTTGTAAACCACCTTCTTGTTTTTTCAATATAAATGTACCGGACAGGATTTGTCTCTCCAGACAGGACTGGTCTACCTGATCTTCAGGAGCTAATGCAGGACTGGTCTCCTTAACCTCTGGAAGGCTAGGGCAGGACCACTCTACTGACGCTCCAGGTAGCAGCTTGACAGTGCCAGAACATTGAAGCAGCCACAAACCTGCCAAATTTCAATCTCATGGGAATCATAATGCTAATGCTTCCTGACATATAGTCATTATTTTATTCATCTTAACTTTGTTATACTCATAATACTTTTGTACTACAGGCAAAATTCCATAGGGTAGGCAAAAATTTCATGGAAAATGCAATAGGAATAGCAGCAAAGCTCTCTTTTTTGAAAAGCAGGTTATACATTTGGGAAGAAAATGTGCCCTTTATATCATGAGTAAATGGATTAAATACTCAGTTTCATGGTAAGAAGCAGTTGAAAAATGCAGCAAGATGGGCAAGGACTAAAGTGGCTGATGTACTTGATTGACACCAGAGAAATCCAGTTTCTACTCCATGTACAGCCCCAGCAGCTCACTTGGTGATTTTTCAGCTCAACCTACATCACAGGATAGTTATGAAGAAATATAACAAGATGCAGCATGATGTACATGCCTTGAGTTCCTGAACAAAGATAAGATTTAGATAACGTGCATGTTTGTATGCCAGAAATGGGACATATAAATGGGGCAATAAAAATATCCAGGCCTTTCTTTCTCGTTGCTTCTTTAATAGCCACATGAAGAGTCAATTCCTTGCTGTTGGGTATGGTAAGGAACAAGGGATTGCAAGAGTGGCAGGGAAACTATCACAGGACATTCCAAATGAACTCCATATGACTGCAATAGCAGCCTGACCATAGCAGCAGCCTGAAACAACCGCAACTTTCTCCAATTTCATTCCCTTGTGGCTCATGGCTCCTGGATTTTGGACTCATTCTGTACAGTAGCCCATTTGAGGTCACTTAGTCCAAAAGGTGTTGCCCTGGGATTCATCATTTCTCTTATTTAAAGGTTATGACAGCAAGGACTTTACTGGTACAGGTAGTCTTCGACTTATGACCACAACCGATCCCAAAATTTCCATTTGCTAAGCAAGGCAGTTATGATCTTTCTTTTTTTGCCTCAGTTGCTAAGTGAATCACTGCAAT